CAGCAACAGGAAACTAATACAGGCAGACGGCAGAAGTACTGTGAGGTGGGTTCCAGACTACCGCAGTAAAGCCAGTATTACAATAAAACGAGTCACACGAATTGTTTTGGTTTCCAAGTGAGTATAAAAATAATGTTTACACTACATGATGATCTGTGAACTGTGCCGCAGCCTTGGGAGAGAGTATGGAATGGTGTGAGAATTACCACAATGTGACACAGAGATGTGAAGTGAGAAGTGAGAACATATTGGGAAAATTGGCATTGATAGACTTGTTTGATGCCTTGTTTGAGGGTTGTCACAACCCTTCAATATAAAACCAAAACAAGTAATATCTTTAAAGCACAATAAATCAAGGCATGCTGATACACTGATGTTTTCAGCTTAATTTATTTGGCATCTCTCACTACTATCGAGTTAACAAACACTGTGAAGTGATGGAGAGCCAAACCCTTGGATATATTATATTGGACAAGCAATAACATGGACCATTCACGTGGTAGGGTTCAGACTACACTTGGCCGTGTAGGCTTGGAATTTGGAAGGTAGAAATGCTTTGAAGCAACACCCCAGGGGGGTGAGGTAGGGAGACTACATCAGTTTCTTGAGTTTCCAGTTTCCCTGGCTGCCATTCTAAGCTTATCGCGTATGCCAAACTCATGCTCAACATAATTAGAATATATGGACTTTGTTTCGGGGGTTTGAAAAATCACTAGGGTGTTGTATTGAATAAATTTTACAGACAGATCCCACTTATTTTATTTATTGACTTTAATCGAGACTCCAGTAAGTGGATAATGCTTTAACATTTGCTCTTTGTAGGCTTCCAAAGGAAAATCTGAAAGTTGAAACGCTTTTTCTTTCCTTGTTTAGGAGATCTTTTTAACAATGGAAATGTTTTGTCTCCTAAAAAGTGGCTTGGAGTGTGAATATATGACTCAGTGGAAATGACGACCACCTCTTGGGTTGTAACAAATGAGAAGTTAGAAGGGAGCCCAAGAGAAACATCAGCCCAGTCAGGAAAATGGAAGGCCTCTGGGGACATCCCTCTGTTGGGCCAGAGTGAGTGATGCATGCAGCATCATAATGGGGAGGAAAAAAGTGAATAAAATGTTATTCACTAAGCAATTTAGCTGCTAAAAATTAAAAAAAAAATGCTTAGGGGTAGGGGAGGAAAAAATCCGATGCAACAACAAAAATTCTCTGGCTTTATTTACCAGAACTTTATTTGCCTTCAGAGCAGCACGCTGCCTTTGCTGTTGGGAGTACCAGAACTCTGAGTTCCATGTGCCTTGTCAGCTCTGCCCGTGCACTGGCCTGGTCCAGTCCTGGATCTTTGATTTGATCAGGCTTTAGTTCTTGATTTGTGAGTCCATGGGCCAACTTCAGGGGTTTCTCAGGAAACTTCTCTGCTCTAATCTTCCTGCAACCCCTGATTCATCTATTTCCTCTAATATCAAACAAAAGGATGAAACGCAGATCAGCCCCTTGCCCTGTGGGTGATATAGCGCTTGTCAAAAGATTTAGCCGCCCTCAGGAACAGCGCAGGAGGGGAAGACCCTCTATGAGGTGGATTGATTCAGTGACTGGGGTAATCGGGATGGGTGTGTTGGAGGCAGTGCGATTGGCACAGGATAGAGCAGGATTTAGGGCTGTTGTACATAGGGTCGCTATGAGTCGCAAACGACTCGACAGCACATGACAACAACAACAGGAACACTTGGACCTATTGGTCGCTATAGGGAGGCGTTGGGCAGAATCAGAAAGGAAGCAGTATTAGCCTCATTTGCCCTCTACCATCTTGCCACCCCTTTTCCCCGATGCCTTAATTCCCCCTGCCTGTGCCAGGCTTTGGCTCCATTGCACCTCCGATAGGGTTCTTCTCAGAATCAATCATGAGTAATTAATTGATTAATTATTTGCCCTTACTGAATATTAATTATCCCCGATGGTAGGTCTTTATCAGAGTATCAAGGGAACTCGCCTGGCTCCGGTGGTATAGTCCATGTTGTGCTGCTAACCAGCTCCAGTAGAGAAAGACGGCAGGTCTTCTCTGTTATGAACTGCAGCGTCGAAAACCCGGTGGAGGGTCTCTGTGAGTTGAAACTAACTTGACAGCAGTGGGGTTTTGATTCAAAGTGCAAGTGACTGATTGCCCCTTTGGTGCTTCTAAGAGTGTTTTTAGAATGAAATGCCTGTCAACACAGGCTTTCACCAGTGGAATAGTAAAGGAACATGAGGGATTTGCTGAAGGATAGAGGTTTAGGAAAAGGCCCGCTCTATTAAATTAGGGCACTAAGGCACACGCCTGTGTTGTCTCCATTTGCTTGCTTGGCTACGTTGAGCTCTCGTTCGGCCCTGCTATCGAGCAGCACTATGATTTTAATTATCCCAGAAAGTAAGCAGTCCCCTACCACCATTTCAAAAGAATGAGCTGCTGCAAGCTGCATGTGTTGCTTCGTGTAGTTGTGGTTTCCAAACATGCAGCAGTGTTGTGATGTGCCATCGAGTCAGAACTGACTCCTAACAGATCCCCCAGTGGGTTTTCAGAGGCTGTAAGTCACACAAGAGGAGACTGATTTCTTTTTCCTGCGAAGTAAGTATCTGGTGTGTTTGAACCACCTGCCTTAGAGTTGGCAGCTCAACTTCTAATCATCTATCAAGATACCACTATGGAAATGGCTATTCCTTTATAATTACAAAAAAAAGAAAGAAAAATTTTCAGGTAACACAGTGTGCGCGAGGGCTTGGGGAGGAAGCACCCCAAGACCTAGTAGCCGTTGGCTGAAGTTTGCCATCGGACAGTTTGGCAACCAAAATGCATGGAGTTTTATGCCAAAATTCAGCCAGAAAGATTTATGACGTCATTGTTGGCCATTATGCCAAGTTATGTACAGCGAGGCATACATTCAAAGGAAATTTGTGTGTAAGTTGATGGTGTCTCCTATCCATGAAATAATATGCAGACACCACAAATGGTGCTGAAGGAAATGGTTTAATGGTCTAGAAAAAAAAAATTAGTACTGAGTGGATGATTTTTATACAAACACACACACATCCCTGTGTACATCTTGGCTTTCTGAAGCTACATCAGTATGCATGCAATGTTTTTCATAGCAAAAAAAAATGTTTTTAAAAGAATTGGAGCATTTCCTAAAGTAGGCAACACAGAAGCTCTTGTAGTTTACACATCCAATGGTGTTTGATCTAGTTTAACTCATAAGAAAAAAGGATTGGCTTGCCAGGTGGAAAGTCTGTGGTAAAAAGCAACATAGTTTATAGAAGCTTAATTCATGCAGTTGACCACATTGACTTTTCTTTTAAGTTGTAATGAACATATTAGTCAACCTTCGTGGACTTGGATTTATGGCAGGCTCATCCCTGTGAGCCCCAGTGCCAGAACAAACTATAGCCCCGAGCCATTGTCCGACCTCCTTGCCCATAGACTACAGCCACTGAGGTGGGTTGCGCAGTGGGTAAAAGGGGAGAGTAAGTATATCAGTGAAAAACTAAAATTCTTATTCATAATTTCTTTAGTTCAAAATGTACTGACTATATCATGAACTAGTTAGAGATGGAGAAGCTGGCTTTCCCCCTTAAAAATAAAAAGTTATAAAAACACCTGTTGCTGTTGCATTAATGTTGACTCATAGCAACCCCCCATGATAGAATATAACCACGCTATAGGATTTCCGAGGTTCTCTCTATACAGACCTTTGGCTGTCTTTTGATGTCATCCCACAACTCATCTGGTCTTCGATCTTTGGTGGCCAATGCTTCAAACCTGTTCTTAAGATGATTTTGAAATTCAGGTGGCATAAGCTCAAGATCGTTTTTTGTTTCTTGCAGACTTGTTTTTGTTTTCTTCAGCCTCAATTTGAACTTGCCCATGAGTAATTGATGGGCTGACGGTCACACCATCAGCACCTGGGCTAGTTTTGACTGCTGATAATTGAGCTTCTTTTTTTTTAAAACAATAGTTATTTTTTTAATTTTATACCGGTTTACATACAAAGTTCATAAAATTTGTATTCATTCTTTTTCACACCAGACATTTCCCCTTTCATTTACCCATCCATTCCTAAATATAAAAGTGTGTGACCTTATTATAGCACCTAACAACAACAGCAACAATCTTGAGATAAGCTGTCTGCCACATCATTTTTCTCACAGAGCAGCTGGTGGGTTCAAACCAACAACCTTTGAAGAGCAGCCAAGCATGTAACCACTATGCCACCCAGGCTCCTGTGGCTTTACCAGATTAAGTCTATTTAGAGAATTGAAAAGACACTGATAAGCCAGGTGACGTAGTCCATAGGGAGTGGTGCTGAGAACCCAGAAGTGGGTCGGTCTCTGGTTTGAATCGCCCAGCGGCTCCTTGGAGTAAGGTGAGCAGTCTCTTCCCCTGTGATTTACAGCCTCAGACCACAATGGAGTGTCAGCTAGGAGTTCATTCTGACTGGTGTGCAGTGAGAGTTTTGAGACTGATAAACCAACCAGATGAAAATGAGAAATTCACATACTGCCCTCTTCTGGTAGCTGTTTATAGCCCATTTCCTAGCCACTCCTCATGAAGATATTGTTATTAGCTTTTGTGACTTTGGTCCCCAACTCTTGGAAACCCAAGGCAAAAGGGAACCAATTGCTACTGGTTCCTGTACCATCCTCATTATCTGCTATGCATCAACTTTGTGGTCTATAGCATTTTTATTGGTTGCTTTTTGGAAGTTGATAGCCAGGCCTCTCTTCTTGGTTCATCTTAATCTGGAAGGTCAGCTGAAATTTGCTCAAAATCACAACAACAAGTAAACCTTCATTGATGAGACAGATCGTGGCTATATCGGCCGGGAAAGCAAGAATTTTATCGCTGAACCACCACCATGCCACAGCAAAGATGTAGTGTGCACTCATGCCACCGCAAAGATGTAGTGTGCGCTATTTTATGCATAAACAAATTTATTAATCACTTTTAGCTAATGGAATTTTTTTTTCCTCAACAGAAAATGCTGATAATTCCAGTTCATTATCACCATCTGGTAAGACTGTTACCTTCTAACTCTGGGGAGTTTTAGGAAATACAACTGTAAAATTTCCCTGTTCAATATGATGTGTGGCCAGATAGATTGAAATTCTTTTTCCTCCATAAAGCTTACTTGAGTTATCCTATGCCAAATTACAGAGCTTGGGCTGCTGTAGTAAATTGCACTGTTAATCCAAAGGCGACACCTCTTTAAGAGTTTGAACCCACCAATACAGTCCTGGCTCTGAGGGGGGGAAATGGGCAGTCTCATTCCATTGTGATTTACAGCCTCACACTTGATAGAGGGTCACTGTGCTTTGAACCCAGTTCAGTGGCAATGAGAAATGTCAAATTATACCATCAAACATCCACCTGGAATGTCATTAGCAATCATACACAAGATGCAGGCAGGGAGCCCTGGTGACACAGCACTGAAGCGCTTAGCCTCTTAACTGAATGACAGGTGTGGTTTGAACTCATCCAGTACATGGTAGATAGACTTAACAGTTTGCTCCCAGAAAGATTACAGCAAAGAAGACCCCACAGAGCAGTTCTACTCTGTCACGTGGGGTCACTGTGAGTCAGATGGCCACTAACAGCAACGACATGTTGTGGGCTAAGCCTAGGAATAAATTATGGATTTAAAAAAGAATTATTGTTAGTGTTCTCATTCCCAAAAGTCTTGAAATATTATTGTTGTTGCTGTGTACTGTCAAGTTGGAACCGACTCACAGCTAACCCTCCAGTGGGTTTTCAGAGGTAGTAGATTGCACGGGAAGAGAGTGCCCATCTTTCTTCCACAGAATAGCTTGTGACTTTGAACCTAGTGCCTTTGGATTGACACAGCACAGCTCCTTACCACTAAAGTCACCTGCCAATATGTTCATGTTACAGATAAGGAAACTGAGGCTCCATGGGTACATCTTCTTTGGGCCCGGACTGTTGTTGTAATGTGCCCTCAAGTCTTCTGTGACTCATAGCAACCCTGTGCACAATTGTTCTGAAACTTGTCCTATCCTGAGCCACAATCTCACTGTCTCCAACACACCTACCCCTTTTAACCCCCGCTATTGTGTCAGTGCATCTCCTCCAGGGTCATCTTCTCTTTCACTGTCCCTCCACCCTTTCAAGCATGATTTGTCAAGTATGACCATGCTCTCCTATCCCCATGGCTAGCTACGTGATTTCTTAAGTTATTTAGCTTTTCTCTGTCTTGCTTTCTTCCTCATTAGATTGTAACAGAATAGCAGTGTCTCCTTCATTTAGTTGTTGGGAAGACCCAATGAGATAAACATGCACCTGGCATAGAGTAAACATTCCATATATAAAAACTATAAAGATTATGAGTTAAGCAATGGGCAAAGACTCAGATCCAGGACTACAAAAAAGGGCAAAGGGCAATGTGGGAATGTCGAATAATGGCCTTTGCGCACACCCTCCACACCCCCAGTTATCTAACAAACTGGGCAAAGACTCTGCTCTGGTTCCAGGGGTGTAAGATTCCCAAGGTAGCCCCATCTCACGTCAGGTTTCTAGTTTGGTCATGGATACTCTTTTCCTAGTGGCAAGGTGGCAGGAGAGGTCTCTTTCTTGTTCACTAGCAAGAGAAGACCTAATTCTACAGCTAGAGCTGTTCAATTTATTGGTGAGACTATCCAGTCCCCATGTAGATAGTTGAGAGTGGACAGTCCTCTTGTGGAATGTAGATAGCCAGTCCCCTTGTGGGTAGGCTAACACTCCCCATTTGCATATTCCCACCCACCTAGCAAAGTCAAAGAATGGCTAGGAAAAGTCATATTGAAAGATGAACTCCACACCATCCTTTTCTCTCAGTTGTAAAGCTTTTAGAATAAAACTAACTACAGTATTTTTCTTGAGGAGTCCTGGTGGTGCAGTGTTTTGGCTTCTAACACAAAGGTCGGCAGTTCAAACCCACTAGCCTGTCTTCCAGATAAAGCAGTTGCATTCTGTTGCTGTAAAGATGACGGTCTTGGAAACCCTATGGGACAGTTCTACTCTGTCCTGTAGGGTCACTATGAGTCAGAACCAACTCAATGACAATGGGTAGCATTTCTCTTCTAGTAGAATGGGCAGCCAGCTACCAGCTCACTTAATCCTAGTGTCATATTTGCAAAATCCTATTTGCATGGGATGGAGATGGAGCTTAGAGTCACATACTGCATTAGGCCATAGCTAGATGCTAAGTGCCCTGCTGGGATTGAGCTGTACAAACTGGAAAGTAAAGACCAGTGGCCTTGCAGGCCTCTTTGAATGGCAACTTGGAAGAGTTGTTGGGTGCTTGAGTCAATTCTGAGTCGGAGTGACTCCGTGGTTAGAGTCGAACTGCCCATGAGGGTTTTCTAGGCTGTAATCTTTGCAGGAACAGAAGGGCAGAGGCATTCCAGCCCCCAACTATTGGTTAGCAGACAAGTGCTTCACCACTGGGCTACTGGAACGCCTTCGGTGTCACTCTGGAGACTAAGATGTACATGACCCAGGCCATGGTCTGTGCAATGACTTGCTATGCGTCAGAGAGCTGGGCAATGATGAGGGAGGGTAGAAGGAGAGTTGATGCCTTTGAGCTGTGGTGCTGGAGAAGAGTATTGAATATACCACGGACTGCTAGGAAAACAAACAGGTTCGTCCTGGAGAGGGTGAAGCCACATTGCTCTTTGGAGGCAAGGATTCTGAAGCTCCGTTTGACATACTTTGGACATGTTGCAAGGAGGGACCAGTCCTTGGAGAGGGATGTCATGCTTGGGAGGGGGGAGGGACAGCGCAGGAGAGGAATACCTTCAATGAGATGGATTGATTCAGTCACTGGGGTAATGGGGTAGGTGTGTCAGAGACAGTAAAGTTGGCACAGGATAGAGCACGGTTTAGGGCCGTTGTATATATGGTCACTATGAGTGGCAGGCAACTCAACGGCACATAACAACAACAATTAAAAAAGCAGCCATGGTCAAACTATTTTGCTCTGCCTGAAGAGGAGAGAAAAAGAATTCTTTATCCACATGCTGAATCCTTATTGTTCAGGAATGGTTTTGTTTCTTTAAAAAAAAAATCCTGGTAATTAAAAATAGAAAGACAGTAAAGGATGAAATATGAAAGCAATAATGTAAGACAGACGGGGGTGTGTGTTTCGGCCAACACATAAGCCACCTAAAAGAGGCAGGCTAGCCAAGCGCCTTGACGCGCCCTGATGTCCTGAGCAGCTAAAAAGCGAGTTTCCTGCTGCACAACTTTCCTCAGTGGTAGAACGTTGGTGTTAGTTTTTCTTTGTTTAGCTAGTCACAAAAAAAATCAAACTGTTGATTGTTTTTAATATTTAAACGTGCAAAATGTATGTAGTAGATTGAACCTCTTAGCATACGTGAGCTCATTGCATGGCACATTTATAATGTGATTAATTGCCCAAATAGCAGCCATATTTTAAAATGACATACCTGGAAATTGTGTTAGTTGTAGACTATTGAGTGGTAGGTGGTATTTGTTGTTGTGTGTTTTTTTTTGTTTGTTTGGTTTTGGTTTTTGTTTTTTTGTTTTTGTTTTTTTAGTCCTCATGTTCACTGTGAGAAGATGAGTCTTAGTGTAATTATAGCAAAATGGAGCCAGTATGCCAATATACTCCATAGCTGTAGTCCAACAAATTATTAAAAGCATGACGTTTTCTAGAATGCTCTGGTGGAGAAATCTTGAAAGGAGTATTTCCCATGTTTTGGTGTGGGTCTTCAAGCTAATTAATCCTTTAACACCGTGTAGGTTCTAGCAGACTATCTAGAAAATGAGACTGTCGTGTTCCTTGGGTCCCTTGGGTTCTTTGTACAATTTCATTAATTATATACTCACTGAGCAATTCTGAGACTTACAGATGAATCCAAATGTTATATTGATCTGCTAGTATATCCCCCCCTTTAATCCCCATAATTAAAAATTCTGACTTTAAAATTTGAGAAATATTTCAAAGCATTCGTGTTCAATTTTGTCTCTTTCTTTTTGTCTCCTGCAGCTGAATCCACCCATATCGGTTTTGTCCCCTTCGCCAATGGTACTCCAGGCAAGATTTTAAAAAAAAAAAAAATTTAAGCCTATGTTTAGTCCAGTGTGATAAGATTTTGGATTTAATTGTACTTTTGTGTTGTTTTTCTCTTTGGGTCCCAAAGAGGTTGAAACTACAAGCCTCAATGGTAAGAATAATTCTTTTTCAGAAGCAAATGAAAGTTGCTAGCCCTTCATATGAATTTAGAGGATGAACACTGTGGAAAGTTTCTGTTTCTAAAGAATTTCTGAATACATTGAGTACTTTAAAATGCGCCCTAAGCAAAACCTCACTTAAGCAAACTGTCAGTCATGCACCTTACTAATCATTGATATTGAGTCACTTTGAATTCAACAACAATACAGAACAGAGCAGAACTCCCCCATGGGGCGGGTGTCTAGGCTATAATTGATATTGGAGTAGACTTTCCTCCCTGGAAGTGGCTAGTGAGTTCGACCTGCTGAGCTCTGGGTTAGCAACTGAAGAGTTGAATCATCTCACCATTGTGCCCTGGGCCACCATGAAGGGCTGCCTACAACTTCTGGGGAAATGATAGCATTTTGATTATTGGGAGTGGTAGGGGAGAGAAGGGGAAACAGCCCTCCACCAGTAACTGTTCTAGAAAAGCAGAGAGAAATTCCTGACCATATTTGGGGTGTCTCACTTGTTGTCCAGCACAGGACCCATGAGTTTTATGGGACCGATTGTTTAGATCTGAAAAGTACATCCAGTGACGCCAGCACGGCTCAGCCTGGCTTTAGAGGCACAGTGCGTTCAAAGATACCCCTTATAATGATTTGTATTTTTTAAAAGTCGTATAAAATGGTGGTTGAGGGGGAGAACTGGCATCTAAAATACGGGAGAGAAAAGGGCAAGAAACTGAGTGATATTTGAGGGAGGCAAACAGGAAGGCACATTCTGTTCCCTTCTGTGGGTAGACAGCCTCCCATCCCTCTGCGGTCAGACCCCGCCAGTCTTCACAATAATCGTTTATTGAATGTTAAATGGCTTATTGAATGTTAAGGAGTTAGAGCTTTTTGTTATGGGAGACAAAAAGGAAATGGAGAAGGCACGAAGGCTGCCAGACCAATATTTGGTTATGTCTACAAGTAATCCCAAAGTCACTCAGCGAGCATGTATCTGTTTAATCTAATTGTAATGAAAACTCAAGAAAATAAATGAACACAGTGGTGTCATGTGACAAATGAAAAAGCCTACTAGCACCTTGTTGTTGTTGTTGCTGTTAGGTGCCATTGATTCGAGAATGACCCATAGCGACCCTGTGAACAGCAGATCTGAGCCCTGGCCTGGCCTGTACCAGCCTCACCATATTGTAGCACCGTTGTTACTAGCGTGTTAGCTAAACTAAAGTCACATCATACTGTTGGCAGCCAAGGAGCAGGAAGGATGTGCTTCAGGGTTGGATCCTTTCCCTATACCTAGTCAATCTTTATGCTGAGCAAATAATTCACGAAGACAGACTCTATGAAGAGGAGTGTGGCATCAGGATTGGAGGAGGGCTCATCAACAGCCTGCATTATGCTGATTACACAACTTTGCTTGCTGAAAATGAAGAAGATATGAAATGCTTACTGCACAAGATAAAGAACTACAACCTTTGGTGTGGATTACATGTCAAGGGTCCTCACAACATGCCCAACAGTTACTATTATGATAGATGGGAAAAAGATTGAAGCTTTTAATGATTTGTCTTGCTTGGATCAACAGTCAGCACTCGTGGTACCAGCAATCAAGAAATCAGGAGACATGTTACACTGGGCAAGTCAGGGACTTCTCCAAAATACCAAAGAACAATGATGTTAGTTTGAGGACTAAGGTGTGCTTGATTGAGGCCATGGTCTTCACAGTCATTTGCTGTGCATCAGAGAGCTGGACCATGAACAGGGATGAAAGAAGAAGAATCGGTCTTTGAGAAGAGTACTGAATATCCCATGGACTGTCAAAAGAACAGATATGTCCTAGAAAGTGTGCAGCCAAAGTGCTCCTTGGAGGCAAGGATGATGAAGCTTGGTCTCTAAGACTTGGGTCATGTAGCTGCATGAGGCTATTCCTTGTAGTCGATGCTCTACCACTGAGCTAAACCCCCAAGGCGAGGCTAATCCTTGGAGAGGGACATCAAACTTGGAAAGATGGAGGGTCAGCAAAGGAGTGGAAGACCCTTGACGAGATGGATTGATACTGACTGCAGTCATGAGTTCCAGTGTGTCAGAGATCGAGAAGATGGCACAGGATAGGACAAGTTCCTGCTTGGCTGTTCATAGGGTCACTATGAGTCATACTTGACTTAAAGGCACCCAACAGGGGCAACTAAGGAACACAGCAATCATAGATATAATTCACGCTGATAGACCGAGAAGGGACAGATGTTGCCCTTTTTATGTGCTGTTACTTTTTGCTAGAATTCATTTTGCTGTTGTCGTTTAGTCTATGCCTGTCAAAACACACGCCGATTCGGTAGCTTCTGTGTGTAGAGTTCAGTGACATTTGATTGCATTCTGTGAATTGTGCAGCCAATTCTTGCCCTCCTTTTCTGAGTTCTTCCATCATTAATGTGAGCTCAGTGTTGCTTAAGATTCCCATCTACTCTTTCAAGTTTCTATGGTTACTTCAACCCCGTATAGATAGTTCTAAAAAGACCAGAATGCTCGAGTACCAGTGAAGAACTCGTCTTTGAAATAGCTCTGGCAGTAGTAGCCTTTTAACCATTTGCCATGTTTCCTGGTTTGCTTTTTAAGTGTGATAATGTGTTTACTGTCAAAAACTTCATCAGAGAAAATTATATCCCAAGTAAAATTTAGGATTGCATATTAAGTTAAACAAGGTCAAAATGAGATTTGCCTACACACTGATAGAGTATAATATTCAAGAACTCCCAGTTTAAACTCTATTTACTTAACTGCTGTTTTATACGATGTATCATTAGATCAAAATGTACTAAGCACCCATAGGACAATGTATTAACGTTAGAGTTAAAGGTGGACAAATCATCTCCCAGAGGGACTTTCATTGCAATTGTCGTTATGTACCATCAAGTCAAAACCATCTCATAGCTGACCCTCTAGTATTCAAAGGCAGTAAATTGCATGGGAAGAGATTGCCCATCTTTCTCCCCCAGAGCAGTTTGTAGATTCGAACCATGTGTCTTTGGGTTGACAGCACAGCCCTTTACCACTAAGCTGCCAGAGTTCCTATTCATTATAATAGAGGAAGTGAAAATAAAAATGAAACCCACTGCTGTTGAGTAGATTCTGGTTCATAGATTTGAGTCAAACAGATGGCTGATACTGTAAATCCTTATTGGACGGACTACCCATCTTTTTCCTGAGAAACAGCTAGAAGACTTGAACTACCGATCTTTCAGTTAGCAGCTCAATACATTATGCACCGTGCCACAATGGCTTCTTTGTTCCTAGGTGCCATTGAGTCGACCATGACTCCTAGCGCCCCTGTGGACAAAAGATCTGAACCTCGTCCTATCCTGTGCTATCTTCACCATCTTTGCCATGCTCAAGCCCGCTGTTACAGTCACTGTGTCAATCCATCTTGTTGGGGGAATTGATTAGGAATTGCCCCCGTGGGTCAGAGGGTGATTAGTGGCAAGATAAGTGAATTTAGAAATGTCAGTTGACTTTTGCAGAACTCTTTTTATTGGGGGGAAGGGGGAAGCAACCAGATATTAAAACTCATATATGGGTTCATTTAAATATAATAATGATATTACTTTATATAGAATAAATAATTACAACAGTTCCTCTGCTGCTGACTGAAAAGTTAGAGGCTTAAGTCCACCCAGAGGCACCTCGGAAGAAAGTTCTGTCAATCTACTTCCCAAAAACCAGCCATTGAAAACTCGATGGAGCCCAGTTCTGCTCTGACGCACTTGGGCTCATGACAGCCACTGGCTTTTGGCTCTGTGTCAGATACATAACTAAGTTCAGGAAACACTATCTTAGTGAATGAACACTTGCTCGGAAATTGTCTGAGGGTTCAGAGGGTGGATAGCGGTGAGAGAGCGGTCAGCAAACCTCTCTTAACTTCTCCTGAGTTCCAGAGAAGGTGAAATGTTTAAGGAACCTAGGAATATATGTATGTGCTAAACATGCTGGGAGTTCTACTAATTTTTGTTATTTATTTCAGATGCTACTTCAAGCGTATTATCTACTTTAAACAAAACAGGTAATACCAAGTTCTTTCTAAATCTGATACTGTTTCTGTGGCTTCTTGAGGCTTACATTTGTACTAGTGAAGAGTTTTCTTTTCTCTCCTTGCTCACCTCAAGTCCTGGCTTATCCCCCCTTTAGCACGTGAGGCCACTGGGGATCGGACTAGAACTGACTGGATGGAAAGGAATTTGGTTTTGGTATTCTACTGACGTTGAACTTCAGTTCTGGCCTCACCATATTCCTAAATTTCTCAACTGTTATGGCTATATCATTCTATTTAAAAGAGTATTTATAATCTACCTGATTATAGTAGTAATATGTATTGGACTGACCCAAAAAAAAGAAAAAAGAGAATACAGAAAAAAATAGAAATCTTCTTAAGAGTAATTATTGTTCATAATTTTTTGTATGTATATTTTTATATTTTTATGTAAATATATATATACTTCTTGTTGTTATGTGCTATCAAGTTGGAATCTACTCCTAGCTGACCCTCCAGTGAATTTTCAGAGGCTGTAAGTTGCATGGGAAGAGATTGCCCATCTTTCTCCTGAGGAGCAGCTGGTGGATTTGAACAGCCTGCTTTCAGGTTGCCAATGCAACTCTTTACCACTAAGCCACTAGAGTGTGCATGTGTGTGTGTATATAAAATGTATAAACCAAATGCACTGTCTTTGACTTCATTCCTACTTATAGCAACCCTGTAGGACAGAGCAGAGTAGAAATGTCCCACAGTGTTTCCTAGAAAGGCTATGAATCTCTGTGGAAGTAGACTGCATCATTGTTCTCCTGCAACGCAGCTAGTGGTTTGAACTGCCTGCCTTTTTATTAGTAGTTAAACGTTTTAACTATTGTGCCAGCAGCATGCCCCCTCCCATATACACACAACCTACATACCTGTATATGTGTTGTTGTTGTGTGCTGCCAAGTCAGACCCTCCAGACCTCCAAAACCCTTTCAGAGGCAGCAAATCGCATGGGAGGAGATGGCCCATCCTCCTCCCATGGAGCAGCTGGTGGGTTTGAAACAAACTGCGTGCCCTTGGGTTGACAACACAGCTCCTTACCAATAGGCCACCAGAGCTCCCTGTGTGTGTTTCTGTATATATTCCAATCCCATGGTCTGCCAAAAGAATGTGCAGCCATAGTGCCCCTAGCGGGCAAGGATACTGAAGCTTTGTCTCTCACATCTTTTGGGCATTTGTTAGGAGGGGTTAGTCTTTGGAAAAAGACACCATGCCTGGAAAAGTGGAGGGTCAGTGTGGAAGGGGAAGACACTCAAGGAGATGGACAGACAGACACAGTGACTGTAGCAATGGGCTCAAGAAAGTCAGAGTTGGTGAGGCTGGCACAGGTTAGAGCAAGGTTCAGATCTGTTCATAGATTTGCTATGAGCTGTAATCAGCTCAGCAGCACTTAACAACAGTGGCTCTCACCAATGAAGGTTTCAGCTGCTGACTAAAAGATTGGCAGTTTACACTCACCGAGCGGCTCCATGGAAGAAAAGAATTGGTGATCGGTTCCTATAAAGGTTACAGTCTAGGTAACCACGTGGGGGAGTTCTGTCCTGTAACACATGGGGTCACTGTGAGTTGAAAATTGACTTGATGGTACCCAACAACAACAAAGTCCTTTACAAGATACTCATAGTTTACATATGTTTTTGTGTCTTGTCTTTTTTAACTGATTTTAAGTATTTTTCAGTAGTCCTTACAATTAATGATGACAACCATTATTCTTTTGTGTGCCATATAGTGGATGTTATAAGTGATTCTGTTTTCAAATAGACCTTATTGCAATGCTTTGGGGGGGTTAGGGTTAGGGTTAGGGTTAGGGTTAGGGTTAGGGTTAGGGTTAGGGTTGAATCTCACTAGTAATCAAGTTATTTCTATAACCACAAGTTCATTCTACAGTTGTGTTTTATTTGCTAAGGAAAGCATTAGTGTAAACAGATTATGTATTTAAAGGACTCTTAATTATAATATAAAATGCTGTTAGCCTTACTGAGAAGTTACTGCCCATCACTGCCCGGGGGTCACATATTGAAACAAAGCTTCGCAATCACACAGACTTTTCAGAAACTACCAGTATGATGTTTTTCTCACATATGTCTCTAAGATTTGAGACTCTTCAGAATTTACCAGTCCATCCTAAGAGACGGCACCTTGGCAGATCTGTGTCCTGAACACAGCCTCTTCTAATCGCCCTTACTTACAGCAAGGATTTTTTAATCCAGTCCTCCACTATCTGGGGAATGAACCTTAGGCTCTGTCCCCTAAGTGTGTTGGGGAGAGACCCCTAAGATTTCCTTCATTGCCTGTGAGTCATAGACTTTAGACAGTCCTGATTCTGTTATAGGCCTATTGTTATGACTGTGGTTGGGTGATCTTGAGCTCTCTGAGGATAATTTTATTCATCAATGCTAATGGGATAATATTGTCCTATGCCCCAATGAAAAGAACAGGATACTTCGTTGATTGCAGAGTATAGGAATTTTTATTCTGAATTACTTGCCTTTTACAAGCTATCCCCTAAAGGGCCTAAAAAGGAACATGATTCTACACATTCATTTGTCTAGCAGCAACGCCTAGAAATAGAAGTAGAATTTCATAAGCAATGGGACGGATAATGGGTGTGATCCAGCTGGGTAAATGTGGGGCCTAACTCCCAGGCCTGCTTCCATGCTGATGCTCTGTGATCCATACGTAGTATTCCTGTTCGTTCTGTGCTTGAGATGACCAATACTGTTTTTCTTAGAGCTTCACTAAAACTATGCCAAATTGGTGTTTTTGTTTGTTTTGTTTTTTGAAAAATAAAAAAAAAACAAGCAACTGTTCTGCTCTAATATCTAAATTGCTTCTTTGCAGAAAAAGCTAAAATCACTATATTAAAAACCTTCAATGCATCAGGTATGACTTACTATCGATATCAAGACTTTCTTTCTTGTAACTCAGGTGAAATGGAGTAAGTGGCTAGCATTTGTGTTTTAGTTCTCATTTTCCTGCCTTTTAAAAAGAAAATCTGTTCTTAATTAAATAGGTGTTTATACACTGGGTATCTGGAGTTGTACTAGATGCTCAAGGCTATGTAGTAATGACCAGACACAGTGCCTTGGCCTCAAGAACGGTCCAGTCTGTGGGTGGAGACAAGACAAACAGGCATAATGAACGTGAACATTATGCAGATAAAGACAGGATTTATCTGAGTGCTTCTTAAGCAGTGTGGGAGATGGAAGGGTTGGTACTAATGAACTTCTAGATAAGATGCAATTAAGGAAGACAAGGTTCTTGGAGGAGTGAGCCACTGCCTCTTTTTACATCAAAGAAGGGATTTACCTGCCAGTCTATTCTGCAAGACTTGCCATACAGTATATAAATGTCATAAGACTTTTGGTTGATTTCTAGAAGAAAAGGGCTGGCAGACTGGCCTGTGGGGCAAGTCTAGACTATCCTCTTGTTTTCGTTAAGAAAATTGTATTGAAATACAGCCATGCTCATATTGTGGCTGGAAATGAAGGTGCAGCTGGTTTAGGGAAGGGTGAAAGATTATAGAATGACAAGCTTGCAAACAGTAGACCAGTAGTTGTAAAGAACATTGAAAACGTAGCTGCTAGCCTCTATATATGCTATAATATTTACATAGTGTATATTTTAAAAAGAAACTCTCTCTGTAAGTGTGCCTTAAATGAAATATTTCTTTTTTGATGTGGATAGCACTGGTGTGGAACAGTACAGAAATCTACATGTCAGGTAATTTGGGCGCCTAAATTCCGTTTTCTCAAAGACTGAGAACCTCAGCCGAAGGCTGGAGTCTACTCGCTAAAAGTCAACGAAATCATTCTGACAGAAACGGTAGCGCATGCACTCCCTCAAATGAAATGCTCGTTTGTGTCTAAAGTAGCTTTCTCACAGAGGAGAACTGACTTGTGGTAATGTGCAATGGAAATTCAGTAGCAACCAGTCATTGTACCCCCAATGCAGACCAAACCAGATCCAGTAATGAGGCTCAAGAGTCCCTGAACATGACGACTTTATTGCCTTGTCAGTTTGCTCTTGCCTTATCTTCTGCCCCTGACATTTATCAGAGACTTCTGAGGCCTTGCAGTTAACAGTGAAAAGCTTTTTAGAGGAGTAATCCTTGTGTTCTTTTTGAATCAGAGGAGAGATGTACTTCTTCTATCCAAAGGAGAAAGTCTTCTCATTTGTGTATGTGTGAAGCTTTTTGTTCTAACAGGGCTCACTTCCTGCCCACTCATCTTTGCCTCCTTTGCAGCTTTATGTGGTCTGTTGTCCTGGCCATCACATCATTCTCTCATTGCTATAACTTTTTATTTACTGGCCTGCATCAGCCTGAGGCGCCTCGGAAGACAGGTCTGGCAATCTGCTTCTGAGAGGTCACAGCCTTGAAGACCCATGGAAGCAGTTCTACTCTGCCCACCTGGGCTCACCATGAGTCAGAATTAACTCGAGGTAAACAAAATCACCCACTAGATTGTGAGCTCCTTGAGGGCAGGGTCTGTGTCTAGAGCCCCCAAAGCCAGTAGAATGTAATAGTTGCTCATCAAACAGGTTTAGAATTGTGTCATTTTGGTCCACATGAAATATGCTGGCATTAGTGTTAGGTTGTATTTGCATAATAAAGTAAGAGCAGCGTTAACACATGCACAGACTCAGTCCCTAGGAAGATAAGGAAGATCTAGGAATAAGCACTCATGCATTGAAAGGCATTATCTTTGATTTCCACTCATGATCTGGTTTTATGCTGGACAGGTGAAGTCTTAGTCAAGAATTAAAAAAAAAAATTTAGGAAGGAGTTGGGGATCAGAGAGCTTACTTTCTGAAAAATTACAGTAAATTAAGTCCCATGGTTGACCAGCTAAGAAAGGAAAACTCCCTTTTTTAGTCTTTATGGGATTCCTCCAGACAGCTCTTGCTTATAATATCTTCGGCCTGAATTTGTAAGTTCTCTTTGCATTGTAGTATAGGTGCAAGTGTTGACAGGCTTAACTGACTGCATTATGATTTCTTTGCAGGAGTCAAACCCCAGAGAAATATCTGCAATTTGTCATCTATTTGCAATGGCTCAGGTTAGTTCTGGTGTATGTTACGAGTTACTGGATACATTAAGGCCACGGGAAAAGATGGCTTATTTTTCTCATGCTGAATGTGTGGTGTGTGCCTCTCTGATCTTCTTCCTTTCATACCATATGGCTACTAAAGACATCTAAAAAAAAACCAAAAATAAATTTTATATGTAGGTAAAATGTGTCCTCGTTGTCTAGTGAGGTGATAGATGAAGTTCATTAATATGAGACATGAAGCCACACACAAGCTCATTTTCACCTTAACTAAGGCACAACTGATATCTTCAGTTACTAGTGTGAGTTCATTCATACACAAAATGTATACGCTTATCATGTACAATTAATGAAAGCTTACCTCACAAAATGCACAGGCTTTTTCATAGAACCTTAAGTGTCAGAGCTTAGAAATAGGATTTGTCTTTTGCTAAGAATAAGACGAATCACTTTGCCAGGATGCTGAAACCTCATGTATACCTGCTTTAGTTGGATTTGTATTCCAGTAGAGCTCATAACGTCTTTTTTGCCACCTCCAATTAAGACTTCCCACTATTTTTAAAAGTTGAGATGGAAATCTCTTGAGAATATGCTATTTTTAAAAAAAATGGGACTCTTTTCCCTTTTGCCATGGCCAGAAGGAATGAAGCAACCACGTTTTTGACGTTGGTTTGGCTCTCTGGGCTCCCTTCCCTGTTAAACCCAACGAGAGCAGATGTGAAAAACAGGAAAGCATGGTGTGGCAGGTCAGAGTTGGACAGGAGAGGACGGAAAGCAAGAAGATGAGCGGAACCAGGTCTTTCCGAATGGTCGGGGCTTAATAGGACTCCAGCAATGTAAGGACAGTGGTGAGCGAAATGTTAGTTCTTGATTCTGTTCCTTTTGATGGTTTAGTCATATTCGATACTTTGGAAAATATAGGTAAGGTATTTGAAGTAAAATTAGTTCAAACTGCGTTGTTTTAGAAGACCAGAAAATTTCCTACTGTAAGAATGTTCCACAAACACATTCTATTTGAATAAATGTGAGACTTGTTCATATGATTTTTCCACTGATAAAATCCTGTCCCAGGTAGAATATAGAAAGTGAGATTTTAGTTCATTTTGATCAAGAAAGAAAAACTTACTGGATACATTTCATTCTCATAAATTATGTAACTCTTCTCTTCCTCCTCCTTGGTTCTCTTACCCTTCTCCTTGTTGAATCTCCTATAATTCCACTATTTCTGTGCCTCATGTATGTTTGGGTTAATGACGAATGTCTAGTTCAATGTTGTGTCTACACAATGTTTGATAGCTGTTTGAAAAGTGAACATTCCGTTTTAAAAAAAAAAAAACCCAAAGCCAACTGGTCATCTTGGAGGATAGATGCCAGAAAGCTGGTTGGAGTAATGTTTTCCCCAATTAAGTGACTGAATTGACTGTTTGTTTTCACGTCTGGTGAAAACATACTCATCAGGGGACCAGCTAACTCTTTTGGCACCAGAAATTCCACAATATCCTGCCAGAAACTAGAAACCCTTACTTCTTGCAGGTTCCAGCGTGAGCTCGTTAAGGGAATTGGATGCTGGTGGAGAAATTGAGAGTTGGGCAGAAGAGTTAGGCTGAAGGTCAAAAGGTGGTGACTTCTTGGTCACGCTTCCAACATATTTAAGAGCCTCAGTGTGAGCTCAACAAGGCTGATTGGATGAGCTTGGAGAATGGAGGAGTGAGAGAGAAATTCGTGTCTTCTCTTTCTTATGGTTCTGTTTGAATTCCTTTGTTAAATTCAGAATTCATATTTTTTAAAAATTATATTGATAATCATTGAGTTACTTGCTGCGGGGAAAAAGTAAATATGCAGAAAAAAAGAGACTCAGTGAAACTTTATAAAATAGTAAGTTGTATTACTCTAAGGCGAGAGGTCTCAAGTTTCTTTTTGAAAACCCTTTTTAGCGTTTTTCAGAGGTGAGATAGTGTTCCAGCATCATGAAGAAAGCAATGTCACCCAGGTAGGTTTTCAAGATCTTTCCTACTGCGATTTGAAAAAAGTGAAAAATGTGTATATTTAAAGATGTGCTTAAGGTGCAGATTATGTATAATATCATGGTCTCTTGTGCGATCCTCTTTAAATAAAGTATGAGTTCATATTTCCAGAAGCCTTGTTTAAGGTATTTTGGTTTCCACTAATTTTGCTGTTAAATAAGAATCTCAATATGATACAATTCTCTCTCCAGTTAAAATTTAAACTTGCATTAGAAACTTCTAACAGCGGGCAGTAGGATGCATTGACTCCAGGAGTTGGTCCTGCTCACCCCTTAACTTCAAGTGCGTCAGAAGATCCCAGCCAAACTCGTGGTTTATTCCTTTGGTAACTTTTTCCTAAGCACCTACTATGTCCCCGTTAATGAGTGCTGGCAAGACAGACAATTGCTGTCAGACTTCCCTTTCCCCAGTGGGATTGGTTTAGTTTCGTTTTCTTTTTGGAAACCTGGACACTTTCTTGCAGCAAGCTTTTAATGTTGTTGGGTGCCGTTCAGTCAGCTCGACCCCCTAGTGACCGTCCATACACCTGAGTGGAACCCTGCCGGGTCCTGAGTCATCCTCACAGTCGTGGTAGCAGCCACTGCATCCGTGCACCTTGTTAAGTGTCTTCCTCTTGGCCCCTGACACCCTGTTTTACCGAGCGTGATGTCCTTTCCCAGGGTCAGGCCTCTCCTGTTAGATGCCTAATAAAGTAGGTGAGATGAGGTCTCGCTGTCCTCTCTTCTAAGGAGCACCCTGGCTGCACTCCCTTATTAATAGTGTTCTGTATTGGAGCCCTTGGAATGAAGAAAGCCAGAAATTAGCACACCAGACTTGCTGATTCTGATTTTTTTTCTTTTTAAAGAAAAGGTAGAATACTTTTTTTTTATTAATAAATTTATTTTTTCATTTCAATGAAAAGGTAGAATACTTTTAAGAGGTGAAGGTTGGCTGGATTTGAGCAAGAACTAGCTCAGGCAGCATGGGCTTGCTGGGCTAATGAGGGGCAGCTCATGTAGGTCAGTTCAGGGGGGGTTCAGGTCTTTGGATGACGAACAAAACAGCAAAATAAAATCTCATTAGAGATCGAGAAACAAAACCCAAACTGACAACGGTGTTTCTTGTATTCTTGACAATTTTGTGCTTCTAACAGAATCAAGATTTGACTAATGGCACCTTAAGTGGAGTCCTGTCTCTGAGTGAACTGAAGTGAGTAATGTTCCCTTGATTTCAAACGTAAACTGTCCACTGTGGAAAGGTATTTTTTGAGCTGTATTTGCATCTGGAAACCAGCTGTTGGAAAGAGACAAGTAGACAGAAAGGCTATAGAAGGAACTGACTCTTGAGCCCTTTGGAAACTAACCATCGTCACTTCTCATCTGCTATACCATAATAGGGCATCTTTATTTGAACTGGCATTTGAGTTTTAACATGGTTAACATGGTTGGAAGAAGAGTTCAGGATAGGATCTCATACTGCATATCATTTGTTCCTGTTTTCATGAAACATTGGTGGTTCATAAGTTAGCAGATTGAGGCTTAAAACAACATGTATAAACTAGAAGAAATGCATTCCACATAGATGCACTGATAACTGCAAGGTCAGTGGTTCTAGCCCACCTAGCAGATGCTCAGGATCTTGGCAGTCTGCTCCTGTGAAGACCTTATGGGGCAGTGCCCCTCTGTCATGTGGAGTTCTGTGAGTCAGGATTGGCTCAGCGGCACCCAGAACAATAGTTAAATATGCATCAGCAGGTTGGCCTAAGCAGGAACAGCTTTGGATTACCCTGAACCTGCCATTGAAAGGGGGGAGGGCATGTCAGGTCCGTGCTCCTGTGGCAGGGAAGTGTCATCAGATTGTCTGTGATGACACTGAAAAAAAAACCTATCCCAGGTTAACAACTCTCCCTGCGGGCCATCCTGCCAAATTATTATTTGACCTGGTTGCTTTTAGTGATTCCGTAACACTTTGGTGGAGAAGAATGATGGATTCATCAAGCAGCCCTAGGACTCGGCTGTGGTGTGGGCTGAGGGCTACGTGAATGAGAACTGGATCGTGCTGGTGCTGGTCAGGGCCTTCATTGCTTGGATTTTGTCTTCTAGTGAAAAAGCTGATACAGTGACTGCAGCAGTGGGCTCAAGTGTGTCAGAGATGATGAGGGTGACATAGGACAGGACGGGTCAGCTCTGCTGTTCACAGGGTTGCTCTGAGTACTTGACTTGTTGGCACCTAACCAACAACGACAACTGAAAAATCGATCCTTTTCTAACCTGTATATGTGTGTGTGTGTGTATGAGAGAGAGGTGGGAGGGGAGAGGGGAGAGAGAAAAAGAAATTAACAATGGATTGGGACTCTAGTACCTAGAAGGATGTGGACTTTAATGAAGGTTAGGATTTATGTTAGGGCTAGTTTAGGATTAAGGTTCAGGTTGGGGCTAGAATTAGTAGAATAGAGTTTAAATATCAGATTTGGGTCTGTGTTAGGGTGAGAATTAGTCCTGTAGTTATTATTATGTCTGTGTTTGGGGTCTGGGATTAAGTCTTAGGGTTAGAGTTAGGGCTTTTGTTAGATTTAGGGATAGGATTAGCATTAAACTTAAGATTAGGACTCGTGTTAGGGTTTAGTATTTATCCTTGGGTAAGGGCTAAGACTTGATTTAAGATTATTGTTAGGGAATACATTTGGATTTGGGCTTGGATTAGTGCTATAGTAAAGGATAGGATTTGATTTTGTGTTAAATGTAGTGTTATTGTAAGGGATAGAGTTAGGCCCAGGTTTACCTTTAGGGTTGGCGTTTGTGTAAGGGTTAGTCTTTGGGTTAGAGTTAACTCTAGAGTTAGTGTTTGTGGTTAAGATTAGCAGTTTAGGTGGCAGGATTAGAGTTAAGGAAGGTATTCAGGATATTGTTTTGGTGCTCATGTTAAAGTTAGGACTCTGGTTAAGGAGGTAATTGTGACTGATGTCACCCACTGCCAACCTGGTCCTAATGATAACTCTATATTCTCAATCCACCCACTAACCTTACTTCCTAATCCACACATGAACCCTAAACCAAGGCTAAATCATAAACCTAATTCTAACAGTAACCCCAAACTCAACCTCATCCTATTCTGTGCTGGGCACTGGCGATTTGAGTGAAGTTGAACACAAGTCTTTGAGATGGAGCAGTGTCGATATCATGTAATGATGATTTCATAATGACAATAATGATGAAATCACCCGGGGAGCTTTTCAAGATCCCTATTCCCAGGTACAGAAGGAGCCCTGATGGTGTGGTATGTAAGTGTCAGGCTGCTAACTCTAGGGTCTGTGGTCACAATCCACCAGGCACTCCATGGGAGAAAGGTGGGCAGTCTCCTGTCAAGAGTTAGAGCCTTAGACACGAAGCAGATGGATGAGGATGTGCAGGGGCAGGGGGAGATTAATCATGGGGTTGTATAATTTGATGGGTAGGGTAAGGGAAATTCAAAGAATCTGTTCTGGAAAACAATGAATTTGAATTCATTAATAAACTAGTATAATAATGAAAAGAAGAGAGAAAGGGATAGGGATGCAAATATAGGCAATGTCGGGGGAGGGGGGCGGAGAAACCTAATGGAAAGTCACTGTGAACCAGAATGGAGTCAACAGCAGTGAGTTTTGGTTTTGGGTTAGATGCCCAACCACAATCAGAGTTCAGTAAATGAGGCCCAGGCATGAGTCGTTTTTAATGCATCAATGTCAGTTTGAAAACTCAGGTACGCCTCATTCAGGCTGTGGTCTTTTTGATCATTTGCCGTGTATCTGGGAGCTGGACAGAGAATAAGGATGACAGGAGAATTGATGGCCTTCGAGTTGTAGGATTGGAAAAGAGACTATTACATGGTCTGTCAAAAAAAACAAATGTAAGCCCCTCAAAGGAGAAGAATTGACAGTGACTGCAGCAGTGGGCTCAAGAATGTCAGAAATGACGAGGATGACACAGGATAGGACAGGGTTCAGGATCATTATGACTCCTACTCAGCCCTGCAGCACATAACAGCAACAGCAAGCACTTCAGTGCAAAGCTAAGTTTGGGAGGCAGAGGTCTAGAAGTTTCAGGCTGTAAGAAAATGGTAACAGTGCAATCAGTTTCCTACAGTGCCGGTGTCATGGACAGAGGCCGCTCCAAGCATCTGAGTATAGAGCAGGTGGGGTTAGAGCTGGCTTGGGAGGCCAGAGGCAAACTCCAGAAGAAAGGCAGCCTCTGAGGAGAGTTACAGAGGAGCGGGCTGCTGGCTTGAGCAGCCAGCCAACCACTGCCATGGAACTTCTGGCCTCCACCCCGTCCCTGGGGATGACTCTTGGGGCTGGGGGACTGTCCTGTGCATTGTGAGGTGGTTAGCCACATCCTGCTTCTACCCACTGGATGCCATTAGGATCTTCCCCCAATCATAGTAATCCAGAATGTCTTCAGACGTTCCCAAATATCTTGGTGAGGGGAAGAGTCGCTGCAAGTTGAAAGTCATGGGTTTTTAGTCTATTCTTTTAAATAGATTTCTTCCATCCTAACTTGACATAAAGCCCTGCCACATGGTTGAAAGCAAGTGTTTGAAGGCTGAACTTGGAGGAAAGGACTAAGAGATTCCTGAGGGGGAGTGGTTAAGAGTGCAATGGCAGGGCTGGATCCCTTGACCGTTGACCCCAAAGGGGAGCGACTTGCCTCTCAGAAAGCTTGCCTGGGGCCAGCTCTTCCTGTGCTTCCATGCCACACGAGGCTGCCTCCAGGCTGCAGCAGCCTGATGAACAAGATTGTTCAACCATAATTTATGTTTTGCTCATAGCAAGAACTGATACCGGTTCTGCCCGGTTAGTTTTCACTTGTTACATAAATGATTTCTTTTTCCTCCCTGAGGAGTCTTTTATTAGACCCAGTGTTTCTTCACAGTAAACACTGTAAGCAGTAAATATGATGTGCTTAATTTAATTGCTGTAATTCTACCTTGTTTTAAATTTCACATTTCTAATGGCCTCATTAATGTCACTCTCTCCCTCTTTCTCTAACAGGCGATCTGAACTCAATAAAACCCTGCAAACCCTAGCTGAGGTAATCAGTCTGTCCTGCACCTTATTAGTAATGGAAGTTATTTGAGTTGCGTTCATGCAGAATATATCGTCAGATATATTAGATAGATCTTCAGATTTTTCCCAGTCTGCCATGTAAAAGAATAAACGAATGAGCTCGATTACTCCACAAATCAGAACTAGGAGCAATGAGTGGCTGTTGAAAGGAGGTAGATTTTCTTCATTGTAAGGTGAAAAGTTTTTCAAAATGAGATTGCCCAGAAAACAAATACCCCTAGATGGTAGTGAGCTTCTTGTCACTGGAGGTGTCCAAGCGGATCCTGTATACTCGGAATAACTCTGCTGCTATGTCAGGAATCTGGTGGAGAGATGAATTGGATGATCCCGAGCACAGAGTAGGGCAGGTTTCAGATCTGTTGTCTATAGGGTCACTATGACTTGTAACTCGACTCGTTCGCACCTAACAAGAACAACAGTGTTCTTTGGGATTCTAAGATTCTGTGATGCTTTGGATTTTGTCTGACATGTTCAAGTGTCAACCTAACATATACATATGTATGTTGATTGTTTCAGACATATTTTATAATGTGTGTGACAGCAGAATCTCAAAGGTATGTACATAATTTTTTAATGCTTTTTTTTGAGTTTTAAATTTTTTTTTAAATTTCATATTCATTTGCATACATACACATTGTGTTTCACACATTTCTTCATTCACATTGTTTTATAATGATCATTCCCATACATTGTGTTTTTTAATGCTTTTATGAATGAATATTATTTATGCATCCATGAAAACTTAGGTATTGAGGAGTCTTAGTTGCCATTTTCAAAGCATTCTTCTCAAATACGTACATGTCAGTGATGTTTTTATATGTTTATATATTTGGTTTTCTTTTCCCAAGCACTTAGCTCTCTTTTGCATCCATCTTCCTTTTTTATGAGGTTTAGAGGAGTAGTGGGTAGCTGGCCAGTTGCCTCTGGTTCTGTTTGGTTTTTGTTCTTAGCCTCGAGAGCCACTAGTATGACTGAGAAATAGTTCGCTCTGACCCAAGCAGGGAGAAGACCTGGGAGAAGAAGAAGGTCCAGAATATAGAGCTTGGTGAAGGGAAAAGATTGAAAAGAAAGAGAAACGAAATAGTGTGGATGGGAGATTCAGAGTTTGTCTGACAATTATATTGAATTCTACAGATTAAATTAATAAAATAGATATGCCCATTCTTTGTTCTGGTTCTGTAATAGTTTTAAGAGTAATAATCTTGCTCCCTGAACCTGGAACATTCCATGTTAAATCCTACAAAAATGACAGTTTCTACTTATCGAAGCTTTCATTGGTATAAACAAGAGAAAAATCTTTGAAATTTTATATTGTCTGTTGAAAATGTATATGCATATATACAGTTAAAAACAGGCCTGAGGGCCACTAATTAAAGTCACCCACCTTTGGCTTGGGACCATCACTTTCTGTCCACTAGGCCAACTGAGCTCTCTCTGTGTTGTTGTTGTTGTTAAGTGCCTATTTTTAATTGTTTTTGGTCAAACGTTTTTCTAGTTCGTATAGCCCTGGTCTGTCCACTTCCTGTACAGAGGTAACTTGTGGATACTGTGAAGCTGAACACTGTGACAGTGATGTATGAAATGCGATAATGATGGACAGTATTTGGAGGAGCTCTGATTAAAACAAGCTTGGAACCAGGAGTGGCATCCATTTCCAAGATAGCTTGTCTCTGGAAACCCTATGAACCTGGAGAAACGAAAGTTATACAAGTGTCCAGGTCTTTCGTTCATAGGGTCACGATGAGTCGCCTACGACTCAACGGCACTTAACAACAATAATAGGATATATAAAATATAAAATAATAATATAATACAATACTATTGTTGTTAAGTGCTGTTGAGTCATAGACGACCCTATGAATGAAAGTCTTGAACATAATACTTTCATCTTTTCTCCAAGTACATAGAGTTTCCGGAGACAAGCTTACATTGGAAGTTGAGGGCACTCGTACCTCCAAGCCTCTTTTATTTGGGAGCTCCACAAAAAGCAGGCCTGAAGGCCGCAGGCCTGAGAGCCCAAAAAGCCTTTTATATGATGCCAAATCCAATCAGCTGTTGTGAACAAAAGTCACACCGTAGTCTCAACCCCAAACCAGAAAACATGATACAAAATAGAAATTGTGTATATATGTATATATAATTTCACCATACCTTCCCCCCCCCCATTACTTTGAACAGCAATTTTTCTTTTCGCCTAGACAGAAATGAAGATAAAGAGAATATTTTCAGTCCTGGAATAGACTTGATCTGACCTCTTTCTGTGGTAGTATAGATTGAATCCCCAGATTTTGAATTTACAAGACCTTGATATCCATTTAGGGCAGTTGTGAAAGTGTTCTCATGATGAAAACTAAAATTCCTACAAACACCAGGCACGATGCCAGCCAGAGGTAAGACTGGAGGTTTTAGGTGCTGGTCTCTGCAGCACTGTGCAGGCAAAACCACTTAGCTGCTGTGAATGGTCAGGGAGACTCTGCTTTGTCACCTCTGTGAATATGAACTAGCAGCATGTAGCTCATAGGAGAGTCTTTAGGGTCAACTTTCGACCATGGTAGGTGGGTGTGCACCCGTTTATCAGGGTGACATTACAAGTTAGCAGTATCATTGTCCACTTTTTCTCAAAACTGAAGACATGTATGTAGGTTTACAAGGCAGATGGTTCGAATCCATTAGCTGTTCTGAGGGAGAAAGATAGATAATCCCCTCCCATGCAATTTACAGTCCCTCGAAACCCACTAGAGGGTCAACTGTGAGTCATTTCTGACTTTGCAGTGAGAGAGAGATGGAGCCTTCTGGTTTCGTACCAGGCTGGCTTTAAACACATGTGTTTTTCTTTACAGCACATTAAATTGTACATTCAAAGTAAAAATGAATAAGACCGTGAGCATTTGCGCTGTAATGGATGCTTTGAAAAATGTAAAGATTCAACCAATGGGTAAGTTGTCTCTGCCTTCACGACTATGCTCGTTCAAGGCTCTTGGCGTCTTTGTAGCAGGAATTATAATGAACACATTTACATTTTATATGGCTTTCTGTGTTGGCTCCTTTGTCCTTGGGCAGTTTTCAAACCCTCTGATGTAACTGCCACAGGTTTGGGTTTTTTGTTTTTTCTTTTTGCTTAGAAGGTAATTTTTCCTGCGTTCTCATAAAACTTAACCAGTTGACATCGAGTTAATTGTGGTGTGGTGTAACCTGTGTCTGTCAGAGCAGAGCGGTGCTCCATAGGGTTTTCAGTGGCTGCCTTCTTAGAAATAGGGCACCAGACCTTTCTTAAGAGGCACCTCATGGTTGACTCAAACAAAGCTCCAACTTTCACCAAGTAGCCAGGTGTATTAACTATTTACACCATGCTACAATTTTTTTTTTTCTTTAGGGGCATTTTTCTTTCATGTTTCAAACACAGCGTTCCCAAATACAGCATCAAATAAAGCTTAAGTACTCTATATTTAAAAATATGAAAGAAAAAAAAGCCAAACCCAAAACAACAAACCTTGCAGAGAGATAAATTTTTCTTTGGAGTTTTCCGTGGCTCCAGGGAGGCTCCAAGGGAGAAAGATGGGGCATGTCCTTCCATGCGGTTTATAGGCACCAAGAGCCTACTGGACGGTCATCTATGAGTCGGTTCTGTCTCTAGGCCATATAATGAGCTCCAGCCTTCTTTAGAAGGTTCTAGGTGGTACTGAGCATCTCCCTTGCCTTGCTCTTGACCTTGTATTTCTTCCTTTTCCTTCATCCCCTCCAGAACAGTGCTGCTGTTCTCCTAAGACCCCCTGCCCTACATCCCCAGAAGACTTGGAGAAACTGCAGTGGTAAGTAGCAAACATCCCGACCCTTGTCCTAAAAAGGGGCTTTGGAGTCACCATGTTGGCAAAGAATGTTTGGAATTTCAGGAGGAAAGCAGGACTTTGGATTGTGGAGAAAGGACACAGTTTCGTGTTGTCTGAAATGTCCACTCGGGCCATTGCCTTGGACTCATGGCTCTGGGGCCTGGCTGTACACAGGGCATCTCCTGGGAGCTGCGAAACAGTCTGCTGCCCCCTGGTCTCACCGACAGAATGTGTCCTCATCTTCTTATGTGTTGGTCCATCTGATGGATGAGAAATGGGGCTGTTTACAATCACATTTCCCCTACTTGAGAATGCATTTGAACCCCCTCTTTTTTTTTCATATATTTGATGGCTGTTTCTCTCTCTCTCTCTCTCTCTTTCTCTCTATAAGTCATCTGTTTATGTCTTTCCCCCACTACTCTACCAAATTTTAAGTCCATTTCTCAGAGTGTCTTGTACTTTTGGACACATTGCTCCTTTGCCTGTGGTATGTCTAGGGAATGTTCTCTTTGAGTTTGCTAGTTGGTCATCATTGAGTTTATGAGGGATTTTTGGTTGCATGAGTTTTGTGGCGTTGGGTTTTTTTATGTTTATGATGTCAGTCTTATTACCTTTAAGTTTTTGAGACATTATTATAAAGTCTTTCCCTATACCAAATTATAGAGAAATTAACTTTTTTAAAAAGTACTTGCATGGTTTTTTCACATTTAAAGCCTTGCTTTATGTGGAGTTTATTCTTATGTGCTGTGCAGTGTAACTCTCATTTTGTCTTTCCCAAATGTCTACTCAGTGGTCCTGTATCATATATCAAGAAGCTCATCCTTTTTCCTAGTTGGCTGTGAGAGGCCACCTCTGGCATAGACCAACTTTTTATATGTATTTTGATCTAATTCTAGGCTGTAGCTATTAACATTGGAGGAAAAATAGCTTAGGAGTATACTAGAACTTTCTATGCTATTTGTGCACGGTTTCTGAAAGTCTAAAATTAGTTTAAAAATACTCCTATGCAGTCTTCACTCCCAGAGATTGTCATTTAATTGGTTTGAGGTATGGCCTAGGCATTAAGGGATTTCCCCCCACACACACATTGTTTTTTGTTTTGTTTTATGTTGATTTACATACAAAACTTGTATACATTGTGTATCATTCCATGTACATTGCATTTCACATGTTCCTACAATTCACATTGAGTTTCAAATGATCACTCACGTACATTGCGTTTTATAAAATTAATCACCACTGATCTAGGTGTCAAGGGATTTTAAGGCTCCTCTGCCTGGTGGTCTAGTGTTTGACTAGAGCGGAGAATCACTACCTAAAAATGTATTGTCTCACCGGAAGGTGGGAGAGAGATGATCCAAAATGGTAGATGACTGTAAAAGTTGTGTATGTAGCAAGCAGCAAGTTGCTGTTGTGTTCCACTGAGTCAGAACCGACTCAGCGCATTTTCAGAGGCTGTAAAGCACATGGGAAGAGAAGAATATGAAAATATACACAGGAAAAACTGGGAGGTAGATGAGTGGCGTATTCACAGTAGATCACAATGATTGGCCCACCTGTTGCCATTGTTATTGCTGCCGTTGGGGCTGTTGAGCTGACACACTGGGCTGGATTATTTTTAAGTATAGTCTGTCTTGGAGGAAATGCCACCGGAGTGCTTCTTAGAGATGAGGGTGGCAACACTTTGCGTCACATACTCTGGATATATTGTCAGGAGGGACCAGTCCTCGGAAGAGGACATCATGTTTGGAAAGGTAGAGGATCAGAGGAGGGGAACGCCGCTAATGAGATGGGTTGCCATGGTAACTGCAAGGATGGGCTTGAGTCTGTTGGAGATGAGGGCGATGGCACGGGGGATAGGGCTCTTTGGGTCCGTTGTACATAAGGTGAGTTGGTGCTGAATTGATGGTCCCTAAGAGCAGCCACAGTGCAGAATTTTTATATGTATCTGCAATCGGATAAAAAGAATTATATTTGAAAAAAAGGGATGCTTTTAAAATTTGTGCCTTCTTGTCTGGAAGCTCAGTGCAGCCTGTCTGCCTTGTGTAGGCCACACAGGTTTCTTGTGTTTCTTTGCTATATTAAAACATTGGACCTTCAAGAACTGCTAAAAGTCTTTGTTGTTAGATGCCGTCAAGTCAGTTTTCAATTCCCACAGACCCCGTGGAACAGACCCCATGCAGCTTTCTAGGCTGGACTCTTTCCAGGAGCACATCACGGGCATTCTCCCATGGAGCTGCTGAGGTTTGCATTTTTCAACTTCATAGGCTGGAGGATCAAGGATCGAACTTCTGGAAGCATTGGCATTGGGTCATTGAGGCAGCTCCACAGGCCTCTGAAGGCTTCCTGTTCAGAAAGTGGATAAAAAGGACAGTCTGCTGGCCTGGGTCTCTTGCATTGACGAGCTTTGTGTCTGGTGCCTCTTCACTGAGTGCAGTCTCAGGCTCCTCCTCTGGATGCTTTTGAGGATCCAGGATCGAGCTACGGCTTTGTGGCTGCAACAGTGGGCTTAAGCCTAGTGCAGATTGCACGGCTGGTACAGTTTAGGCAGGATTTCATTCTGTTGTACGTGAGGGTGGATCCCACTCGCCAGTACCTAACAAAAGTAAGATGACAGAGTGGTGATTCTTACTCCAGCTGCACATTGAACTCATCTGGATGGTTTTAAAAGCACAGATGCCTAAGTCCTACCCTTGAGATTCTGATGTCATCGGTGTGGGGAGCTGTCTGGGCACTAGGGTTTGTTTGACTCTGAATGTGTATGGTAAAATCGATAGGACAAAGCACACCCCACTTCGGTCTTTTTTACGTGTCTAGTTCAGTGATGTTGATTACGTTCATTTTGCTGTGTACACATCACCATCACCGTGTCCAGGTTTTTTCATCACCCTGAATTGAAGCAAAACGCCTAGTCCGACGCCACCCTGGGTCTCCCCTGCGCTCCTGCCCACTGTCACAGTCCTTGTGGAGGTCCATTTTGTTGAGGGTCTTCCTCTCCTTCACTGACCCACCCCTCTTCTAGGCATGGTGTCCTTTCCCAAGGACTGATCCCTCGGGCTAACTTACCAAAGTATGTGAAATCAAGTCTCAAATCCTCGCTCCTGAGCGCTGGCTGCACTTTCCCAGACAGATTTGTGTATTCCTTTTTTTTTGGCGGTACATGGGATATTCAATATTCTATGTCAACACCACAAATCAAAGGCATCAGTTCCTCTTCTGTCTTCCTTATTTAGTGCCTCATTTTCACGTGCAAACGGAGCAGTTGAAATTGAAAAGACCATGGCCGATAACCACTAGTAAACGGTGGTCTCTGTGCATTTGCTCCTTCAGGTAATCTTATCGCTAGTGAGATTGTTACGCTCTACATTGGACTTTTAAAAAATTCCATGTGATTCCACTATGCAGCCAAATGTGGGAACCACTAGACTATAAAACTAGATGTTAAGAGTATTTGTTGAAAATGTGGTAGAAACTTTTAATCACATAAAAACTTACTACTTAAGCAGGCTTGAGTTTATGATTTTCATGCCAATAATTGTATTCCCATGTGTTATAGCCATTACCACTACTGATTTCCAACATTCTTCATCTCCTCAAATAATGACTCTACTCATTAAGCCTTAACTCTCTGTTCCCCCTCCTCTGGCCCCTGGTAACTTCTGAGCTCTTTTCTGTCCCTGTATTTGACTTGGGGGTCTCTTTGATCCACTTGATTTCTTAGTATCAGTTGCACATTAAAACCGTCTGGAGCATGTTTAAAACAGACTGGTGCATAAAAATGACCTCTAAGATGCTGTCAGTGCTCTGAATTTGGTGATTATGTTGATGCATCCATAGATAAAAATGCATTAAGACTGGTATACCTTTACTGTATGCGGGCTGTGCCTCAGTAAAGAAGCAAATGCTGGTGCCTGCATGCTGCAGTCTCTGTAAACTCATGAATCAGAATTGGGAATTCATAAAAGAGTGTTTCCATTGTGGATTCTTCTCCCATGGAGCGGTCGTAGGAGTGGTCAGACAGGGGGCGTTTGGCAGGTACCCCAGAAGGCATGAGATGGCACGAGAAGGGGCGTGGCGGGGCACGTTCCCCTGGTCCCAACATCACCTTGGCTGTGCCATTTGTTTGACGTTCTCTCTCATGATCTCGTTCATAACTCGTATGTCTCTGATTCTCTCCTTCAGTGATCTGCAGGATACCATTGTCTGCCTTAGCGAAGTTGGCCTGCCATTCTCTTCTTCCAACAAGCCTAGCCCAGTTGCTCCTCTGGCTACAATTGCAACCCAGGTCACCAGCGCCGTCTCTTTAGCTGAGCCCTTAGACCTTCCACCTGTGACCCAGAGCTCCTTCCCTCCAACCACAGAGAAACACCCTCTCTCACTCCTGCCCTTGGCTACCAAAGCGCCCGGTTCCACAATTGATTTGCCCCCTGTCTCTGGAGCCATCGCTTCCTCTACACCGCAAACCAATTTTTCTTCCACTCTGCCACTGCCTGCAAAATCTTCACTTGTCTCTCCCACCACATCCGCACCTGTGAATGTCATCGCAGCCAGCTCGTTTCCCGAACATGTAGGTAAGTGAAAGGAACCAAGCTGTTCCCGCTTTGTTGTCATTCTGGCCACCTGAAATACAACTGGCAACAGATACCTGGCAGAAGATCCCACTGAGAATTCCTTGATTCTGAGAGCTGTCCTTCAAATAGTTCTTGTTGAGTACCATCGAGGCAGAACCAGTTCACAGCTGACCTTCCAGCAGGTTTTCAGAGGCTTGTAAATCACACGGGAGGAGATTGGTTATTTTTCTCCCACAGAGCAGCTGGTGGATTTGAACAGCTTCCCTTTTGGGTTTTCGGCACAACTTCTTGCCACTGAGCCACCAGAGCTCCTTCAGCCACTCGTAGGAGATATATATGGTTAAGTTCAATTGGCTTGACCAAAGCAGTGGGGAAATAACTCTAAGAGGCAAATATAGATCTCATCTTATTGACATGGTTACTTCATCAGTTCCTTTCACCCACAAAATGGTGATGTGTCATTATATTAAACATTGCTAACAGAATACTTTTGGACTATTAACCAGAGTAGTTCCACTTAAGTATGAGGGCCAAAGAGGGAATTGGTGAAAATTAGTCACAGAAAGATGATGCTGACACTGAGTCATGGTATCTATGAGGAGGGGAGAACCTTCTGGAAACTCTGGGTTTGGGTCTGAGACCAGCTACTGAACTCCTGCTGAGTAAGCCTCTTCTTTTTCAAGATGAAAATTATTTCACTCACTGCACCAGGTTGACAATGACAGGGTATGTGAGCCAGTCTTGGACACCACAAAGAGTGGTCCAGTCACAGAGTCATTCAGCTTAAGGAGACAGAGATAAAGGGAAGAGAGAAAGAGACAGAAAAGTCTGGGTATTCTCTGCCATTTCAGTTCTGAGTGAGAAGTAAGAAGCAAGCAGTTCCGTCTGTAGAACTTGGAGGAGGGCAGACAAAGCCAGATTTTTGGGTGGCATTGGGATTATAGCCGAGACTCTACCCCACCCCTGCCTCTTCCACCAGGGCGCCATCCTCCCTGGAAGCTTGGGAGCTTCTGCCAAATAACTTGGAAATGGCTTTGCTTTCTCTTGAGTAAATGATTTGTATAAGTATGACCATTTAAAAGTCAAATTCATGAGAGCTCTAATAAACTGTCAGTTCAGTAAAGGGATGAAGTGTAAAGTAAAACAAAAGTTAATGAGCCTGGACCTAAGGTGCCCATCTTTCCTAAGCTATTGCCTTACCATCGAGCTCATGTGCTACACAGAAAAATCAGGACAGAGACTTCCTGACTTCCTGTACCAATGATTTGACCTCTGGGTCTGTAGTGTGAGCCAATGAGATAATAGAAGCTAGGAGACATATAACGTAAAGGATCTATATTGTGCCATATAACTGATTGCTAAAAAGTAGATTGAACTTAATTGTTCTGCAAGAGAGGAATGATGAAATTAGACAGGACACCTCACCCCCCAGTGACTGTTGTGCAACCATGAGCTGCAGATGCTTGGACTTGTCCAAGTCCTGATGTGAAATGAAATGGCACGAGAACAAATCATTTGCACATGATGTTGATGACATACATGAATAAGGAATAGAAGGGAATATGCATACAAGAGAAGGAAGACATTAAGAGTGATGGCACTTTTTAAATTTTAGACACATTTATATAGTTGATTATACATCAGAAACTATTAAAAATTAGGCTAACAGCTAGCTGATAGCTACATGTTCATTTCATGATTCCTGTTCACAAAAGAGCTTCTAATAACCCTTATCAAATCATCTGTGCATGATACGAATACGTGTGTAAGTGTGCCTATATGAAAAAGGGGGAACTCTGGTAGCCTAGTGGGTAGAGAATTGCACCGCCAAACCAAAGGCAGATGGTTTAAGTCCACTGGCAGCTTCAAGAGACAAAGATGGACAGTCTTCTCTCATACAGTTTACACCATCTGAAAACCTGTTGGTGAGTCAGTTCCAATTTGAAAGCAATGAACGAGCAAGCAAGCTGTGGAAAACAGGGGCACTCTGGTCACCTAAGCCGAAGGCTGCACCATTCTGGAGCTTCCAGTTCACTAGCAGCTCCAAGGGAGAATGACGGGTACTCTCCTCCCATGAAGTCTGTAGCCTCTGAAACCCAGTACTGAGGCTGAGCGGTGAGTTCCACCTTGACGTCAATACTTGACTCAATTCTGAGCCATCTACCACCTTTGGCAATCTGTAAAGCTAGCTGCCAGTTTCAGTTCTACACTCATCCCAGTATGATTCCCCCCACCTCAATATAAAAATTTGGAAAGTAATTGGCAATTGATGTGCACACACATGCACAAGTACATAGAGAGAGAGGTAAACTGAGTGTGTGTGTGTATATATGTCAGGTTTATCAACGTAGAGGATTGAGGGTACCATGGACTGCTAGGAAAACAGATTTATCCTAGAAAGGGTTAAACTGGACGGCTCCGTGGAGGCAAGGATTCTGGGGCTTCGTCTGAAATACTTTGGACATATTGTAAGGAGGGACCGGTCCTTGGAGAAGGACATCATGCTTGGAAGGGTGGAGGGACGGCGCAGGAGAGGAATGCCCTCTATGAGGTGGATTGATTCGGTGACTGGGGTAATCGGAATGGGTGTGTCAGAGGCAATGCGATTGGCACAGGATAGAGCAGAGTTGGGCTGTTGTATGAGTCGCTATGAGTCACAAGCGACTCGACTGCATATAACAACAAACAACAACAACACTCATCCTTTATACAGTTCTCTGAGGTTCGATGAACACAGTTGAATAACTATCACCACAATAAAGGGTCGGCTATGAGTCACTTTGAACTCTATGGACATGAGTTTTGAGTTTTTTGAATCATTTTCTCATCTTGTGCTTAAAAAACTGATTTGGCTCTTTGTTATAGAAATTATAACTACAAGAATTTCCAGCTCTGCTGAACTTGAGGATCAGGTGTCCCAGATGGAGAAGACTTTGTCCCAAGGCAGCTTGGAGCCTGACCTGGCAGGAGAAATGATACACCAAGTCAGCAAACTCCTTCGCTCACCGCCTGCCTTGCTGGCCCCTCTGGCTCAAAGGTATAACTTTGTAAAACTGATATGCTGGTGACAGGAGACTCATTAATGATAACAAATACTTCTTCTTAAATGATTAATTATAGCCAAGTCATTTTTTTCCCAGTGGTGGTCCAGAGGTAGAATGTTTAACCTTCCATGCAAGAGACCTGGTTCAATCCCTGGCCAATCCATTTCATGTGTAGCTGCCACCCGTCTATCACTGGAAGTGTGCCTGATATTAAGGTGCTGAATAAATTTCAGAGAACTTCCAGACTGATAGGTGAGGAATAAAGGCTTGCCAGTCTGTTTCTAAAAATCAGCCAGCGAAAACCCTCTGGATCACAATAGTCCAAGTTGCATCTGGTCATGGGATGGCACAGGACTGTCCAGAACGTCATTTTTTGTATATGGGGCTAAGGTGAATCAACGCTGTATCCATGGCTGCTAACAACTTTTCTCTGTAGTACTAGATTTATAGTAATATCTTCAGTTACAAGTCTATATTCTGTATAGAATGAGAAAACCAAAAACAATTCAACAGTTCAGTGTGAACTTCTATCTCTCTTTATAGATTGCTGAAAGTGGTGGATGATATTGGCTTACAACTGAATTTTTCAAACAAGACCATAAGTCTAACCTCTCCTTCTCTGGCTCTGGCCGTGATCAGAGTAAATGCCAGTCATTTCGACTCAATGACCTTTGCAGCCCAAGACCCTGAAAATCTTCAGGTACACTGGAATTTATTGTGTATAACTGGCGTCTCTCTCTCTTTTTTTTTAACTTCAATTGCTGGTTATAGTTTGGGACAGTATTAAAAATATTAAACATCTGGAACAGTGAGACAGCGCAGACTCAAGAAAGAAGCCAGTGTGGGATCTAGGAGATGTGTTTAGTGGCTGTGTTAACCCTTTAGCAGGTGGACTGAGTAAGCTTAGGTGTATGTGTTCAGAGGGAGTAGCATTCTACACGGTTGGAAAATCAGAGACGTCAGCTACTTATCAACTCATTTTAATATCTTAACAAATGATATGGCTAGTTTTGGCACTGGCTCTTCATGAGATGTCTTGGTGAGCTGCTTCTGAAAGATTACAGACTTGAAAATAAGGTGGTGCAGTTCTGTTCTGTCACATGACACCACTTAAGAGTGAAAAAGAGGCTCAATAGTACTTAACAGAGAGTGTGGATACATTAGGTATACTGGTGCTGAAAATCAGTCCTGCTTCTGGTGGTTTTTGTCTGTAGGGATCGGAGGCTGGACGTCACCAAATAAAACCAATAGTGGCCTTTTCCACTTTCATCGTCTTCCCTTACAAGCTTAGTCCGTGGCATTCAATGAAGACTTTACCATAAACTGGTCACCAAATTGATGTGTCTTCAGCTGTGGTCTCCTGAGGGTCCATAATTTTTCAACACCTCTTGACTTTCTGTGTAACCCTAAAATGTTTCCTGTCCTTTCTTTCCTGTGTGGAAGCTTTGTCTCATCTTGAATGGTGGAGTTCTTGGGAGGTACAGATGGTTAACATGCCTGACCACTAACTGAAAGGTTGTAGGTTCAGAGCCATCAGAGGGACATCAGAAGAAAGGCCTGGTGATCTAGCTCTGAAAAATGACCCACTCAGAACCCTGTGGAGTCCAGTTCTACTCTGACACACGTGACGTGACGTGACCGTGAGTCAACGTCGACTCCATGGCAGCGGGTTGTGTTTTCTTCTCTTCTTTTTCATTAGTTGAGCAATAGCCAGAGAAGGACAAGTAGAACCCATTTTTCATAGAGACACCACAGAGAACACGCCCTTCCAGGAAGCCTCCATCTTAATGATTTGTCACGTTTTTAGTCTTTTCACTTGGTTTTCAGATCTCCCTGGAAACGCAAGCTCCTGAGAATAGTATTGGCGTCATTACTCTCCCTTCCTCGCTGTTGGATAATTTGCCAGCTGGTGATGTGGAGCTCGCTTCCAGAGTTCAGTTCAACTTTTTTGAGACACCTGCTCTGTTTCAGGTAAAGTTGCCACTAACTGCTTTTGCCATGGGATTTATTGGCATGGTAATGGAGGAGGATGTGGTTTCATCTAATAGTAAACCTTCTCAAGCCTGCTCTAAGTCAAATGAATTGAAGTTTATTTTTAAACAAGTGACCTAATGAGGAGGAGAAATTCCAATAGTTGACAGTTGTGTGGAGCACTGCAGAGGTGTGCACTATTGTGAACACTTGAATCTTGTCAACAGCCCTGTAAGGTAGGAACTATTTTTATCCCTGTTTCACAAATGGGGACATGAAGACATGGAGAACCTAAGCTCCGGTGTTTGTAGCTTAAAGTTCAGGGGTTTGTAGCTTCAATGTATGAATGTTATATCCCTATAAAAATCCACTAGGGTCCCACTATGTCAGTCTATGTTATTTGATTCGGTATTCGGAGCACTGTGTAGTGAGGTGAGGGAGCCCTGAAAATGTAGTGCTTAGGCTGTCAGCTGCTAACCAAAAAGGTTGGTGGTTCAAGCCTTTCAGCTGCTCCTCGGGAGAAAAATGTGGAAGTCAGCTTTCATAAGATTACAGCCTTGACGTTTCCTAAAAAAAAAAAACCTCAAACATAGAAATTCCATATGACCCAGCTATTCCACTGCTAAGAATGCATCCCAAGGAAAGCTGAACAGTGGACATTTGTACGCCTGTGTTCACACCAGTGTTCCTGAGAATAGCAAGGAAATGGAAGCAGCCCAAATGCTCATCAAACAAATGGATTGAGAAATTATGGTACATTTACCCAATGGGATACTATGCAGCGCTAAGGAGCAATGATTATTTTAAAATACTATATAACTTGGAGTAGACTAGAAAGCATTTTCCCGAGTGAAATAACTCAGTCTCAAAAGGACAAATGTCGCATAAGGCCACTATTGTGAAAATGGAAGGATACTTGAATAAGATGTGTATAAATGTTCAGAATGGAAAGGAGAGAAGGGGGCCCAGATAATGGGGAAAGGGAGGAATCACTGGGATAGTAGAGGTTAATGGGTGCAGGGTGGTGAAGTAATGGGAAAGCTTCAATGGGGGCTTGAAAAGATGGGGTGGTAATAGGTATAGAGTAAGGGTAATTAATTATATGCAATAAAAAGTACTATACAAAACATAATGTATATGAATGATCATCTGGAAATCAATTTTTAAAAGATTACAGGCTTGAAAACGTTGTCGTTGTTGTTATGTGCCATCAAGTCACTTGCTACTCTGAGTAACCCTAGATACAACACCAGAGCTCTATCCTGAGCCAACCTTATTGTCTCTGACACACCCACCCCCATCACCCCAGTCAAGCGGTCTGTTCATTCCTAAAAGGTCGCTGAGTTGGAATAGGAGTGGGTGGCAGTGTGCTTTGAGTATAGTGGAATGAACTGTGCTTTTAATTTGGGGGACTTGGGAGAAAAAAATCACTTTACTCCCTGACCTTCCATTTCTGGCTAAGAAGGTAAAATAGAAAGTGTGGGCTCAGCAGTCCTGAGGTGTTTTTTTCAAGCCCTGAAGCCCTTTAATGGTACTTCACGTTTCCTTGATTTTCTGATATTCTAGGACCCTTGCCTGGAGAACCTCTCTCTGATAAGCTACGTCATATCCTCAAGTGTTGCTAACCTGACTGTCACAAACTTGACAAGAAATGTGACGGTCACGTTAAAGCACACCAGCATGAAACAGGTGAGGGGAGCCCAGCCTAGTCTGTTCCCAGACTGGAGGGTTCGATCACATATTATTAATTCAGTACTGAGATCAATTTCTAATTAACGCTCTAAAACAAAATGTCTATGAGTGATTGAATGCAAATGAAGTATGGTTTGTAAACTTTCACTCAAATTAAAAACAACAACAACAAAAAGACCTGGTAATTTACAGACAGGTTCAGCGGTGTGTAAGTCACAGGCACTCGGTTGGGTTTTCGCGTGCCTCTGGTGGCATGACCTGGAGTCAGTTGTGCTGCTAGCACAAAGGTAGCACCTCTCTGGCAGTTCAAATCCCTCAGCTGCTCTGTGGGAGAGAGATGGGCAATCTCCTCCTGTGCAATTTACAACCTTGGAAAGCCGCTCGCTGGAAGGTCAGCTGTGAATTAATTTCTACTTGATGACAGTGAGATGAGAATGAATGACGGGGGCCTGTGGTGGTTCAGTGGTGGAGCTCTTCCCTTCCATGCAAGAGTCCAGCTGTGATCCTTGGCCAATCTGTACCTCAGACACAGCCAACAGTCAGTGGAAGTTGTGTGAGCCCTGGTGGTGTGGTTTGTTACATGGCATGCTGCTAACTGAAGGGTTGCCTGCTTCTTGGGAGAAAGATGGGCAGTCTCCTCTCAAAAAGAAAAAACCTCAAAAACCCAAGGGAGGGTCCCCATGAGTCAGAACAGATTTTACCGTAATGGATTTGATTTGGGTGGTTGTGATACTGAATAGGTTTCCATGGAGAGTACAGATTAAGCTAGATGAGGAAGAAAGGCCTGGCAATTTTCTTATGAAAGTCAGACCACAGAAACCTTTCAGCACAGCGATCTGATATGAAGTAGATTAATAAGGGCGGCGCAGGACAAGACAACACTTTGTTCTGTTGTGCATGAGGCAAGTATGAGCCAGGTCCCAGCTTGATGATAACAAACAACAGTAACGTGGAACTTCCCAAGAAAGGAGCCTTGGTGATGCTGTAAGTTAAGCATTAGACTGTTAGTCACAAGGACAGGGGTTTGAATTCCCCAGCTGCTCTGTAGGAGGGAGATGAGACCATCTGTTCCTGTAAAGATTACAGCTTTAGAAACCTGATGGGCAGTTGCACTCTGATAGCATCGCTGTGAGCCGGGATGGACTTAATGGCAGCTAGTTTTCATTTCCAAGAAGGAACAGTGCAAAAGCAAGTGCTTAGCAACTGCTAAACTTCAGGGTATTTGGCTGCAGGTCTGATTCTCACAGGAGAGAACATCTCCCAGCCTAGTTCCCATTGTTCACATTGAGAATCGTTTTATGAACTCTCTACTCAAAATACGATCCCTGGATCAGCAGCATTCAGCATCCCTGGAAAGCTTGGCAGGATGTACGTACCGGGCCCTACCCTAGACCTTCTGAATGTGAACCTACATTTTAACAAGGACCTAAAGGCTTTATGGGCACGTTTGGATAGTTTGAGAAGTGTCACTTCATTTGGGCCTCACTTACTTCTGGGTGTATTTTCTAGTACAAAATGAGGACTGACTTTCCAGATTCAAGCAGTAAAACTGTCACAGCTTCTTTCCATATTTTCAGTTCCGTGAATTAATTATTGATCATTTCTTTTTCTGCTGCAGGATGATTTAACAGTGAGATGTGTATTTTGGGACTTGAGCAGAAATGGTAGGTTCTGGTCATACCCCTCTAAAATCTTGAGCGAGCATGGGAGGAAAGGGTGGCTTAGGGAGGCCAGGGAGTCTTTGGCACTGTGGCCGGCCCCGCTGACAGGGCAGATGCTTTTTCTAATGCCAACAGGTGGCAGAGGAGGCTGGTCATCTGATGGGTGTTCAGTCCAAGACAAGAAGCTGAATGAGACCGTCTGTACCTGCAGCCACCTTACAAGCTTCGGTGTCCTATTGGTAATATACTAGAAGGCAGTGGTGGTCCAGTGGTAAAGTTTACACCTTCCACTTAGGAGACCCGGGTTCAATTCCAGCCAGTGGATCTTATGAGCAGTTACCGTCAACCATCAGTGGAGGCTTGCATGTTGCTATCATAACAAGTGGATTTCAGTGGTGCTTCCAAACTGAGACACACTAGGAGGAAAGGCCTAATGATCTACTTCTAAACCTCAGCCCATGTAAACCCTATGGATCACAGCAGTCCAATACGTTACCCATAAGGTGGCTATGAGTTGAGGGACAACTTAGCTGCAACAGCCACGTCATCTGATGGGCAAACTCATCAGATGAACTTGAGGGTGAACCTGAGGTTCTTGGCCTGAGAGGTAGCTGGGTGTACCATGATGTCCAGCATTCTGTGGCACTGTTATAAACGAATGACATGACTTCTCAAAGAAGCAAGTGCCGAAGGAAAATACTTGTATATGGAATGCAAGTATTTTTTTTTCACATTTGGTTTTCATATTTCAGGCTTTCTCCTTAAATTAGCTAACAGGGCTAGTGAAAGCAGACTAAAATGAGTCATCTTAGTTGTTTTAATTTGAAATGCAAATGAAAATTTACAGATGATGCATATTTTATCTTCCTGCTAGCCTTGCAGCATAGGTAGAATGGAGGTTGTTAATGATACTTTATCAAAGCAGATTTAACTCATTCCGCAGTTACAGAGCTAAGATATCTAGAAACCAAGAGCTGAAATCAAGTCTCTGGGCTCCTAGTCTAGCACTTTTCCCGTTCACCACAATGCACTGGTGACGTATGTGGGCCCTGCAATGAGCCAGACTGGAATTTGAATCGGGATAGTAACTTAACCACTTGGGCCTCAGTTTCCCTTGCTTTACCTGATGAGAGTAATTGCACCTACTTAATCGGTTTGTTGAACAGACTTTTATGCCTGAGCATCCAGAACACTCACTACATGTAAATCAGGATGAATATTTGATCACTGAAAGCATCATTTTCTTTTCCAGGACCTATCACGAACATCCCTACCGCCTGGCCAAATGATGGCACTGACCTTTATCACTTATATTGGCTGTGGACTTTCATCAATTTTTCTGTCCGTTACTCTTGTTACCTACATAGCCTTTGAGTGAGTATCCATAGCTGGAGACGTGTGTTCTGGAATGCAATGCCCACCTCCATTGCCAAAATATATTCTTGAATCCAGTTCTTTCCTTGGCCTTGATTTCTTTGGCCTACCTTTCCAAAGTCTACTTTATATAACCATCTACAGAATACCTCTGTATTTTTGGTTTATCTCCTTAACTCCTTTGTTGTCTCTGAGGTTCATTCTTAATAACCTTTGTATCCTAAAATGATGACTGGTGCCTAGTAGACAGCCAGTGTGACATGAAAGATACGTGGCGATGCCTTCGAGGCAGCTATGACTCCTCACGGCCCTATGAACAACAGATCAAGACTGTACCCTGCCCTGCGCAGTCTTCTTCTCTCATGTGATTGAGCCCATTTTTACAGTCATTGTAGCAGTTCATCTCATGGCAATTTGTGCTCTTTGTTGCGAACCCTCTACTTTTTTCAGCAGTAGGTGTTTTTATCAGGGCCTGGTGCCCCCCAGCAACATGTATGCAGATCCCAAAATATCTGAATCTTATAGACTCTAACGCCATGGACAGCCAGAGAACTGTATTTCATAAATTAGGTTTCTGGATTCTACAGGGCAAGCCTGAAAGATTGACTCCATTACAAAGTGCAAGGGGGAAGATGGATAGAGGGTATGTAGACATGTTCAGGGAATGTCGTCAATGCAAAATGAATGGGAGTCTCTCCCATGTGACTTACCGGAAGGGGGTCCCTTGGCTCACTTTTGGGTAACAGTTCCTGAAAATGCTGTTGGAAAAGAAGAAAATAAGTCCTTTTTAAAAATTTTTTTTAAAAAGAAAGTAATTTTATTGCATGAACTAAAGGAAACAAAGTGTAGGTTCTGGGAGTGAGATTTTGGACACTAATAAGGAAGTGCACAAATTGCTTTTCAGTGCCAAACTTGAGGGTCTGGTTGTGACAACACATCTAATGTAGGCCTTTGAAAACATTATTAATGAGACCCGGTTACCATAAAACCAGCCATTACCGGCAGTGATTTCACTTCACACACATAGGCATGTACACATCCAATTAGCTGTATTTTCCTATGCCCATTACATTTAGCTATAGTTTTAATGCTTTTCTTCCATGATCTCATTTGAGCAAGTAACATAAGAGAATAGAGGATTCTGGCTCTATTTCGAAGCTCTAAGAATAGCAGCCTGTGAATGAGAAACAGTAGTAATGACGTCAGTGGCAGGAAATAGGTGAATGCACCGTGGATGATAATTTCATGGAGCATTTAAAAGCGTGGGTCAACAGTCAGCATCTTGATGTTTCCAGAGAGCTCTAAGCTCCCTCTTCATGTGGCCATCAGAGATAATCCTATTCAGAGTTTCCCTTTTGGATTGTTGGCGTCTATTTGACCCCCGCCACACAACACTCCTCCACTCAAATGGAGGAAATGGATGCATTTTAGCTATTGGTAACCCAGAGCCAGCCTGGTAGAAGCACTCAGAGAAGGCTTGGCGGAACGGCAGGCTGATCTTGCCTTGTCCTTTCCTTGTAGGAAGATCCGGAGGGATTACCCTTCCAAAATCCTCATCCAGCTGTGTGCTGCGCTGCTCCTGCTGAACCTGGCGTTCCTTCTCAACTCGTGGATTGCCCTGTACCACATGCGAGGCCTCTGCATCTCAGTGGCTGTGTTTCTTCATTATTTCCTCTTGGTCTCGTTCACCTGGATGGGCCTGGAAGCGTTCCATATGTACCTGGCCCTTGTCAAAGTGTTTAACACCTACATCCGCAAATACATCCTTAAGTTCTGCATCATCGGCTGGGGTGGGTATGATTTGGGCTCCACTTTGCCTGCACTTTCTGTGATTTTTCTGCGGTGTCACTGACTTGTAGTCAGGAGGTGATGAGGATCAAGCAGGCCACAAGCTGGCAAGTGGCTGAAACTTCTGAAGCTTCATCTTCCTTATGTGCTCAGTTGCTCCAAGAAAAACCCTATTGAGTCTTCTAGAACTTTCTAGATTGCCTCTGAACGTTAAAAGCTCTTTGAGGTTAGGGGTCTGTCACATAGAAGGTGATGGAGGAATTGACAAGATGAGTTTGGTTGTGGGAGTGCTGGTGGAGTAGATCGGAGTGAGGGGCACTGCTAACACAAAAGGTTGTGCCTCTCAGGCAGGTCACAGACACCCACTGCTCCACGAGAGAAAGATGGACACTTTCCTGCTGTGTGATTTACAGCCTCCAAAAACCCTCTGAAGGGGCAGCTATGAGTTGGTTCTGACTGCATGGCAATGAGAGAGAGAGATTGATTGATTTCGTTTTGATGGCAATGAAGCTAAACTGTCAGTTCCCAGGCTCGTAGCAGTGAGGCTCAATCCTTGTACCTCACACATAGTACATACGTGCACAACGGTGTGCTTACGGCGGCCAGGGTGAGAGAAAGCACGCAGAAAGCCCAATATGTCGCCTTCACCACCCGGGTGCAGTATTTCAGTGGTGCAGTATCATGTGACTTGGCGGTGGTCAGTCACAAAGCCTTCGACTCCCCAAGGATCTTGACGTTTTCTTCATTCCGTTCCCTATCCAGTGCAGGAAGCTCTTCAACTTGACTTGGCTTAGGTGTGACTAAAACTAATGTAGCCTCCACTGGACTGTTTCCATTACTGGGGAGCTCATGGCCTTTACAAGGCAGCTGATGATAATTTTCTAAACCCTTACCGTTTTGTTCTTAAGTTCAGGCTGCACACTGCTGACACCCAGTGGTTCTTGATTTTTCTCTTTGAGGTTAAAAACTTACCCTGCATGAGCCTTTTTTTTTTTAGCATTCATTATCTTTTTTTATTATTAAATTTTATTAATTTTAATGAACATTTACAGAGATTTTGGGTTTCTATTCATTCATTGTGTCACTATTTTCTCTACCCTCCTCCCCAGTTCGTTCTTCTTTCCCCCCTTGAAAGTCTGTTTTAATGTCCCATTGCCACAGTGCTTGTCAAAGCCAGTTCTGATTAATCTCCTTTGTCGGTGTGTCCTTTGCCATTCCCTATCACTCCTCCCTGAGAGAGACCTCACCCTGATTCATAAGGAAAAGGGGATGGCGTATTCTCTTAGCTACTTCCTGCTGAAAAGGGACGCTGTAGGTTTCAGGGTGAAGATCTTCTCTCACTACTCTAAAGGGCCCCTTTGGCAATAGGAAACACATAGACTATTATGGAGATTGATTTTGGAATTTAGATGCACTGGTACCAATTGTGCTTAGCCGTACATGTTCATATCTGTTAAGATGTATCATGGAAGTGTTGCAGCCTAGAAGACACAAATTTAACTAACAAGTTTAAAGTACATGAGTAAAAATTAAAAAGCAATAGTATTCCGAGTAGAGGCTCTAATAGTGGCACTAATCAAGTTACAGAGGGAAGGTAGTTGTTACGATAGAAGGCCTATTGACTAGCACTTTGTCTATTATAGTATAAAGGTTAGGAACCACAAGATGTAGAGGCTCAACTATGTCATTTATTGTTCTTAAGTCCTGGACCAAATTCCATCTACCACTGGGTTGTTTTACAACTCGGAAGTCTGCATGCAAAGCAGAGATGAAGTAAAGGAACTGTTTATGAGGTTTTCCGTCAATTCCAACAACTAAGAAACAGTGAGAAGAGTTGGGACCTCAGAAGGCTTTTAGGACCAAAGAGTCTTTTGCATAATCGCCAGTAATATATAGCAGTGTAGGTAATGCCCTGTTTTGCAGAGTATTTTCACATACCTGCTGCTGGCAAGTTGATTCTGACTCATAACCCTTCATTGGGTTTCCAAGACTGTAAATCTTTATGCCTATCTTTGTCCCATGGAGCAGCTGGTGAATCTGAACCACCAACCTTTCAGTCAATAGCCCAATGCATAACTTCCATTAAAGACAAGCCCCTGAGGTTAGTCTGGCATTTATTGCCCACTCGGAGTACAGAACTGGCTCAAAGTGATGCCGTGATTCACCAAGCTTGGAAACCGTCCATCCAAGCTTTCTGACTTCTGCAGCAGCAGCATACCTTCCACTGTAACAAGCCCCCCTAACCCCCAGATTCCTTCCTTCCTTCAGGCTCCATTAATATATTCCCTGTACAATAGGTCTGCACACCTGTCCCTCTTGCCATCTTATCTGAAGACTACCATCTTTCCCCACTCCATCCAGGAAGACAAGTCACTGCTCCTCTGGCCAGAAAGTCAGGAGAAGGAAAAGTCAAGGACAAGCTCCTCATCTCTAGTCTCTTATTTCTAGGGAGGTGTCTCGCTTGGGAACTCAGCATAGGTCAGAGTCTCAGGCAGGTATGAGAATGAAGGGATTAAAAGACATAATATGTGAGATTGTGCCAGCAACTCACGTCCTCCTGTGAGAGAAAATTGGCTTTCGTTGACTAAAGCCTTGTCAGGCTGGTCTGTGTGCAGAGTGGAGGTGACGGTCTGCTTCCGTTAGGAGGACAGCGTTCAGAAACCCTGTGGGGCACATCTCCTCTGCCTTTTAGGGTCACTGGGAGTTGGAATGGACTTGACAGCAGGGGCTTTTATAGTCTGGTTGGCACTGGTAAGCCTAGTGTGTTGACTGGCTCACTTTAGGCTGATCCTTAAAATGACGTTCCAGAAGGGCGTTAAGGGCAGTGCTTGCTGCTGGTGGCATAGCCTATAACACATTGCGCTGCTGACCAAGAGGTGGTTCGAATCCACCAGTAGCTCTGAAGGAGAAATCTGGGCGTTCTCCTGGTGAGATATACAGCCTCCAAAACCCAGTGGAGGAGTACTATGAGTCAGAACCCCCAGACATTAGTGAGTTAGTAACGGATAAGCCTTGACATCTCAGTAGATCATTTCCCCTTGGTGCACAGGCCTGTGAGTGGTGGTGGAGGGGTTGTCTCTGGGCAGGACTGAAAGCGGATGGAGGTTTGGCCTCAAGGCTTGATTTCTAACGTTGTCCTGAATGTAGGGGGAAAGAAGGCAAGTGCAGGATAGTGCAAGAGATTTTATGGGGGATGCATAGAGGTAGAGCTGATCACTTCTGTCTATATACCATTGGCTAAAACTTAGTCATGTGGCCACACATGCATAACTGCAAGGGAATCTGGGAGATGTCAAGATAGGTGCCCAGTCTCCAGCCATAAGAGGCTAGCCAATCTCTGCCACAAGACTTATATAGAATGTGATCTCTAGTTTTGCCCTCTGATGACCTTTATGAGTTCCAGTGGCTTAATGGTAAGGAGTTGCACTGCCAATCTAAGGGTACACGGTCTGAATCCACCTCAGGAGCAAGATGGGCCTCTGAAAACCCACCGCAGGGTCAGCTAGGAGTCGGTTCCTGCTCTATGGTACAGAACAACAAAAGCTTGACATTTAGTTATTAGAACTGCTTGTGACTGATCTTTCCTGTCTTCTAGGACTTCCCGCTGTGGTTGTGGCTATTGTCCTGATCATATCCCCAGACAACTATGGGCTTGGATCCTACGGGAAGTTCCCCAACGGCTCGCCTGATGACTTGTGAGTATAGAACCTTCACGGACATGGAGGAGCCAGCCAGCGTACCAACTCAGGCGCTAGTCACCATTTAGACCTGCCTTGCAGTCAAACATAATGAGATAAGCTAGTTGGAAATGCCATGCTACTACTTAAATATTCTTTAAAAAAGGGAATTAAGAAGTATCTTGAAGCTGATTTAATAAGCCTGTAGTAAAATTGAGATGCCAGTTTGATTATATTAATAAAGACAACAGGGAATAGAGGTACTCGGATTTACAGGAGTAAAATCCTGAATATTTTTACAAAGGCATTATTTAAATTCTTTCAGTCACCAGCTATTGCAGAATAAATTTTCCTAGATGTTTTCCCCCCTTCCTATAAGTGGTTGTGGAGAATAATCGTTTCATCCTCTCTTTTTTAGACAGTATTTCGGTTGTCACTTCATTGTATCCCCGCCTTACTGTATTTCAGCACTCTGCTTCGCTTTTTCTGCCCCGTCCCCTCTCCCATTCTAGTTGCTGGATCAACAACAACGCCGCATTCTATATCACGGTCGTGGGCTATTTCTGTGTGGTATTTTTGCTGAACGTCAGCATGTTCATTGTGGTCCTCGTCCAGCTGTGTCGAATTAAAAAGAAGAAGCAACTGGGGGCCCAACGGAAGACCAGCATTCAAGACCTCAGGAGCGTCGCCGGCCTTACATTTTTGCTGGGCATTACCTGGGGCTTTGCCTTTTTTGCCTGGGGACCAGTCAATCTCACGTTCACATATCTCTTTGCCATCTTTAATACCTTACAAGGTGAGCTCCGCAGCATTCAATATGAGCTGAAGGATCCCAGTCAAGTATGACAGAATATATGGTGTCAATTGATTCTGATTCCTGATGACCTCAAGTGGCAGACTTCAAGCCTTCCATAGGCTTTTCTGCACTGGGAGTTTTATGGGAGCCCACTGAGCCCCTGGGTGGGTTCAAACCACCAATCGTTTGGTTAGCAGCCAAGCATGTAACCATTGCACCACCAGGGCTTCTTAGAAAGGAATATATCACTCCTGCAATTTAGAGTACCTGCGAAGTAGCTTATTCAGTAACTCCATGTATATTCATTGGAAAGGGTCCAGTCTTAAAAAAAGGGTGTGTTGAGATCTTTGGAAGAAGTTGTTGTTGGTGGTGGTGGTGTGTGCCATTGAGATGGAACTGACTCCTCCTAGCTCACCCTCCAGCAGGTTTTCAGAGGCAGTTAAATCACATGGGAGAATATTGCCTGTCTGTCTCCCACAGAGCAGCTGCAGGATTCGAACCATGTGTCCGCACTCTTTGCAAGCAGAACTGTCTTTCGGAAGAAGGGCGGGTGCCCTGGTGCCTCATGCTCAGAAGCGGCACTGCAGTCCCGGAAGGGCATTCAGTCATTTAAACAGTAGTGCTTTTGTCTTCTTACTCTACAGTCTCTCAGCTCTGAGCGCAAAGTGATGGGAACCTGCCAAGGCCTTTCTGAGAAAACGAATTCTTTTTTTCTTCACTTACTCTACTCATGCCTTGCTTTCAGATAGATGTGTTGTGTGGTTTTGTTTCGGGTTTTTTTTTTTTTTTTGAAAATGTTTCACATGAGCCACTATAACTTAAAGATATTGCGGCTGCCATCCCAGCCCACCATAAATAAAACTTATATCAGAGTAAAGTGAGTCGTATGCCTTTCTGGGTTTCCCAGTACACATAAATCCTACATTGTTCTATAGACTGAACTGTGAAACAGTGTGGTGGGAAGTTGAATTCTTGGGAGAATGGCTTGCCTGTGCCACAGAGCCATGGAGTGAGCACCCACTATTGGAAAAATGGTGCTAAGAGACTTGCTCGATGCACAGTTGCCACAAACTTTCAATTGGGTAAAAAAAAAACAAAACAAAACACAAAACCCACAACAATAAATACCACATACAAAAAAGCAATATCTATGAAGCATGATAAAGTGTAAAAAAATAAAAATGAGATATGCTTGCATGTGGGAAAGTGGTGGTGGTGGTGGTGTGTGCCATCGAGTCATCGACCTGTAGCTGAGCTTCCAGCGGGTTTTCAGAGGTTGTAAATCACAAAGGAGGAGACTGCCCATCCTTCTCCCACAGAGCAGCCAGTGAATTAGAAACGTGTGCCTTTGGGATTCCTGTGCAGCTTCTTACCACTCTCTAGGCTGCCAGAGTTCCCTATGAGAAAGTGCATGTGCCAATAATGCCCCTAGTAGAGCTAGCCCTCTGACTTCCTAAGTCTGTGATGGGTTTCAACACTCAAATGACAGCAGCTGTTGTTGTTATTGTTGTTGTTGTGACCTGCCATCGAGTTAGCCCAGGCATCTCCATGTGCAATAGAGTGAGAAGATGCTTGTTCACGGAGTTACCATCATCATCAATTGGGATGCCCAAGTCCATTGTTGTAGCTGGTGTGTATTTTAAGTGTCTTCCAACCCAGGTTCCTCTCAGCACTGTATTGGACACTAGTCTATGGTGAGTCATTGGGACTTTGGAAGTTGATTGCCAGGCCTTTCTTCCTACTCTGCTTTAGTCTGGAGCTTCTGCTGAAGCCTGTCCATCTTGGGTGACCCTGCTGCTGTTTAAAGCACCAGTGATGTAGTTTCCACATCAGCAGCACGCAAGCTGCCACCAGAACCCAAAGCGATCACTGGGAGGGGGGCAGCAGCCTGTGGCCTTAGTGTAGTTAATTGTGAGAGGTTGCTGAGGTCAGGTCTCTGTCCCTTGATTGCTCGTTACACATTGGAGAGGCCCCGTCGTTAATGAAACCCAGCTGCAGAGCCAGCATAGCTGTATTTTGGAGAAAAGCCCTTTTCTAACCGTTTTAGGACAATGCTATCAAAGACTTGCCAGCTGTGATCACATTTTAATGGCCGCACTTTGGCCTTAAAAGCTGAGCAGGCTAATAGGCTTACATTATAACCGCAATAATTTACTGTCCCTTGGCTTCATTTTCATTCACTTCTTCTGTGGAGGTGCCTCTTAATTGTGCTCTCTGCCCTTCCCCCCCCCATCTTCTCTTTCTCTTGCTATTCATGTAATAGATCCTTTCACTGGTTTTCAAGGCAAGCGCAACGGGAGATGAAATTCAGATGCATAATTGGGCCACCAGTCCTGCTTTTGTTTGGAGGAGGTCAGGTGGTGTGCTTGTAGTAGCACCATCCCGTAGAATTAAAGCAAAAACAGGAACAGGAGGAAATATTTTTTAGAAAGGCTTAATGTATCCACAATGTTATTGTACTACTGAGTCGATTCCCACTCATTGTGATGCTGTAGGATGAAGGCGAGCTGCCTCATAGGGTTTCCAGGACTGGGATTTTGACAAGAAGGAGCCCTGGTGGCGCAGTGCGTAGTGAATCAGGCTGGGAACAGAAGGGCGGGCAGTTAGAGTACACCAGCTGTCCCACAGAAGGAAGATGGGCAGTCTCAATAGACGGTTAGCACTGAGGCAACGGCAGTGGGCTTGGTGACCTCCGTGGGAGCAGATTGGCAGTCTCTTCTGAGATGGAGCTAGGTCCCTGTGCCAACAATAGTGTGCTAAAAGCAGTACATTTTAAAAGGACAGTGAGTATGCTCATGGTCACATTAATTAGAAGCATGAAAACCACATACCTGATTGCCTGTAGCCCCCACCCCCCCGCCGGAGGACAGAATGGGGGACAGCAGCATATCTACTGGAAAGATTTAATAGGCCAAGCTTTCCCTTTTTTTCATTTCCATCCAGTCTATTGTTCTGTCTTGCCCCAAACCATCTTCTCATCCGCATATGAATACAGAAAAGGAATTTATTGTTTCACCTAGAAAAAGGGAGCAGCTTTAGGGGTGAGGAGCTGCACTGCCAGCCTGAAGGCACACAGTTCCAATCCCCCAGCTGCTGCACAGGAGAAAGATGGGCAGTCTTATTCTGTGCAGTTTAGTGCCTCTGAATACCCGCTCAAGGGTCAGCTGTGGGTGGGTCCGCAGCGACAATCGCCTAATTTGTAAGGCTTTGAGGAAAACTTTCAACAAGATGAAATGACACACACACAAAAAAGATGAAATGACACACATGTCACAACACTGGACTGAGATAGGTTGCTGTTAGGTGCATTGAGTTGATTTCAACTCGTAGTGACAGAGTAGAGCCACTTCGTGGAGTCGTCTTGGCTGTAACTATTCCCCAAGTAGGTGACACAGCCTTTCTCCTGCACAACCACTTTGTGGGTTTTGAGCCACCACCGTTTCAGTTAGCAGCTGAGTATTTAAGTGCTTTATGGCACTGGGGATCATTGGACAACCGATGGTGCAGGTCTGGGCGGCGGTTCATTGTGTTGTCTGGAAGGTCACCGTGAGTCACATCCATTTCAATACAAATTTATTGGCAAAAGCCCAGATGGAATGGGAGTAAGTTAGGCCTGCCCTGGGCTCTTGGGCTCCTGAGTGGATGCATGGTGTGTACCCTCAGGTTGGAGAAGGACGAGGTCGTAAGAAGGGAGCCAGTGAGTTTCATTCTGGAAACGTGAAATTGATCCTTTTCTAAGTACTCTGTCTTATAGGCAGAGTCTCCCTAGAGTGCCTTTCCAGAGTAAGCTTTCCTGAAACTTTTATTCAGTTAGCAGGAGTCTCTGGATGGTACAAAAGATTAACCAGTACACTCAGCTGTTAGCTGAAAGGTTGAAAGTTCAAGTCTCCTCCGAGATGCCTTGGAAGAAAGGCCTGGCAATCTGCTTTTGAAAAGTCAATTTTTGGAAAGCCACAGAGCACAGTTCTACTCTGATACACTTGGGGTCCCAGTGAATCTGGGCTGCCAAACAATTTCTTGTGTGGAAAGTAAGAGTTTGGAACTCACTGAGTTGTGTTTCTGTTTTTGCTTCCTCCCCTCCCCAGGATTTTTCATATTCATCTTTTACTGTGTAGCAAAAGAGAATGTCAGGAAGCAATGGCGGCGGTATCTCTGTTGTGGAAAGTTTCGGCTGGCTGAAAATTCTGGTAAACATTTACTTTCCTTCGCCCCTTCCCTTAAATCTTGAGCTAAAACTTGTGTGAGGTAAGAAGCCCACCAGTCTTTGCCCAAGGGCCTCCCAATCCAGAAATCTGGGGACGGCGCCTGCTCAACAGGAAAGATTGGTTCTGACCATGAATTAAAAATAACCCAGGACGGGAAATGATGTATACTGCATTGAAACAGATGACGGAGAGAACTGTTTAAAAGGGATATATGATTAGGTATTATTGTCATGACAGGAGTCCAGAAGGAAGGCTGCCTAGTGGAGTGGACTTGGGGGGAAGGATTGTATAACAATGAAAGATTTTTTCTTTTACTTTTCAAGGAGAAGAGTGAACTGAGGGGAGGGGGTGGGCAGGGAGAAAAGTGCAACAATGAATGAATGGAAACCCTAAGTCTCTGTAAACTTTCATTAAAATTAATTTTAAAAAAGAAAAAGATAAATATATAAAAAAAACACACAATAGGTCACTAAAGAGTTCGTCATCCCCTGCTGGGAATTTTGGGAGCCGTACAGTGGGTGGGCTGGTTGCTGCTCGGTGAAACCACAGTGACATTTCTAGACTGTCTTTCCTTTTGAGGACTTGCTTTCTGCATTCGTCCGGTGCTGCCATTTTGCACACTTCCCTTCCTGACTTTAAGACTGGACTCTGCCTTTTCTCCACAGGCACATGTCCTTGGTTGTCAGTTTATTGATGGGCGGGGCTTTGTATATACGTTTTGGTTACTTAGCATATATTTTGAAATTATTTTGAAAATATCATTTTGAAATTCTTTTCATCTATGTCCTATTGTAATAAGCAGCTCATTTTGAAGAAAATAGGGGAAATGAAGTCATGTTTGAGAAGCTTAAGTTCCCTTTGCACCAGTCAAAAGTCAGCTGCCATTGAATCAATTCTGATACATAATGGCCCCCCATGTCTTACAGTAGAATATGCTCCATAGGGCTTTCAAGGGTGGATTTTTTTTTAAATGTAGATAGCCAGGCCTTTCTTCTAGGGTACTTCTATGTGGGCTTCAACCTCCAACCTTTCAGCTAGCAACCAACCATGATAACCGTTTGTGTCCCTCAGGTCCTGTTTTCCATTAGTACCAGCCATGGATACCACCTGTTAGTGTCTGAGGGGGAACTTGGAAGTCTGCACGCAGAAAAGAGCAAGTCCAGTCATTTCCGTGGATTTAAGAACCCTCGGTGATTTGTGTTCTGGGCAAGACAGCCAGCACTTCTGAATTACTGGCAAAGTCAATGAGATTTTATGCCAGAATTCAAACTCATTGCCCTCTAGTCTGTGTCAACTCATGGTGACCCTCCATTGGGTTTCCAAAGCTGTAAACCCCGTACAAGAAGATAATGCCATTGAAGGAGACCTCGGGGGGCAGCTGGTGGATTTGAACTGCCAACGTTTCAGTTAGCATTCCAATACATAGCACAAATGCACTATGCCAACAGGGCTCCTTAGGAATCTTTATAGATGCAATCAAATTAGTTCCAGGAGAACATAGGTAGCTTGTAATCAGGCAGTCAGCTTTAGGACAAACTTACCACCTTATTAAAGTACAAGTTGCTCAGCCCAGCCTATAGAATGCATGACTGCTCTGTGAGATCTCAAAGCGAGCGAGGTAGTAGGTTGTTAGAACTTGTTACACACGTCTGGCTCTTGCATTTAAGCTTCAACTGCCCTGTTTTTCTGTAATGCTTATTCTGCTGTAGACTGGAGTAAAACTGCTACTAATGGTTTAAAGAAGCAGACTGTAACCCAAGGAGTGTCCAGCTCTTCAAATTCCTTACAGTCAAACAGTAACTCCACTAACTCCACCTCACTGCTAGTGAGTAACGGTTGCTCAGTGCACGTAGATGGGAATGGTACGTATGTCTCAATACAGTCTTTCTCAAGCTAGTGTGTGTTGTCGTAAAAGCCGTTTTCTCCTTGAATGGCATCCTTGCTAAGCAGCGTGAAACAAGTGGAAGATGATGGAGGGGGAAAAAAAAGTGTTTCCCTCCTAAAAGGCAAAGTATATTCATCCAAATCAGTGAGTTTGTTTCAGGGCATATACCACAACAGCTTGTGTATATTTGTTTTGGTTTGTTTGCTTGCTTGTTTTTGAAAAGATGCCTTCTCTCACAATGGGATGTGATGATCTAAAAGTTTAATGCTGCTGATCCTAATTGAAATCTTGCTCGAAGGCTTCTGCTCTGGCACTGTTCCTGGGAGAAGAGTACCTAACACAGCCAATGAAATGATAGCAATTTGTATATTTGTTGTATACTTTGACGTCTTTCTTGTCACCTGTCATGTTTGTTAATTCTTTCCCTTAATCTTTCCACTTGGGGACCATGCGCACATTCCCATGAACATAACAGATACCACTAGATGGCCTGTGATCTATGTTGGTGGTCATATTGTTCACCCTGATGTAAATAAATGACTGCTGATCCTTCTTTGCTCTGATTCTGACAGTTCTAGCAGAAACTGTCATTATTTTTCCCTTCCTCAAACTAGGCTGATTTTTACTCATGAGAACTTTCGATTATCTACCTTTACCCTTTCTTGCTTCTTAATAGATCTTTTCTTTTCTTTTTTTTTTTTTTGCTTTTCACCGAGGTTTTCATTCTGCCAGAATACTTTCTCCTCCTCTGGGGGATATGATCCTGTTCACTTTTATTCGCTGTTTTGTGATAGTTGCTCTTTTTATGACTAATTCAAATGCAGGTTTATACATCTCCCAGTAGTTGTCCAGCTGCCCAGTGATGGGCGGTCTTGCCAAGTTGTATAGACTTCTGAAATATAATACCACAGAAAGCAAATCCACAAGTTGATTTTGACTTAACGGCAACTCTCCATTAGGTTTCCAAGGCTGTAAGCTTTATGAAAGCAGACTGCCTCATCTATCCCCAGAGCAGCAACTGGTAGATTCAAAGCACTGACCTTTTGGTTAGCAGCCCAGCACATCGGCACTATGCCACCGGGCCTTTCTGTCAAATATAATAATAGGATGCCACTGAAGCAGGCTTTCTCAGCCTCAACACTCTAGGCATTTGATGTTGATAATTACCCCGAGCCTCTACCTAGTAGATGCCAATCATATCCCTGCCAGCTCCTCCAGTTGTTGTTGTTAAGTGCCGTCAGGTTGTAGATGACGCATAGCAACCCTGTGAATGAAAAACCTGAATGAACACTGTTGTATAACTTTCATCGTTTCTCCAAGTTCATAGAGTTTCTGGAGGCAAGCTATTTCAGAAGTGGATGCCACTCCTGCTTCCAAGCTTGTTTTAATTGGGGAGCTCCACCCCAATTATAACAACCAAAAATGTCTCCAGACACGGCCAGATACCCCCAGGAAGTGAAATTGCCCCAGCTGAGAACCACTGTTCTAAAGCTGATACGCAACTGTCACATGACCTGCTCTTTTTACTGTAGGTCCCAAAGGGAGAATTCTGTGCTCTGCAAAAGCTTCTATCAGGAATGGCTAAATTTCGGTGAGCAGAGCAGAGGTGGAGGGAATCCAGTCTACTAGTTAAGAAGCTGACCTGAGAAAGCAAGCTCCCAATAGAAGAATCAGAGGGGCATGTGGGTCACCAAGAACCGGAGACTCACAGCATAGCAGGGAGCCTCCCTATAATCCATTAACCAAATCTGTCTCCAGGTTCTTGAAAGAGTTGAAACTCACGTCCCTGTCTGGCCTCAGTGTGTTGTCACCCTTCTGTGGATACAGCCTGATAGAGGCAGTACATTTTGACATGATTGTTTGACGTGACTTATTTCGCAGCAATTTTTGATGCCTGGCATTGAGCATGGGAATGTGTTTTAAGACTACCAAAATGGTCCAGATATTTAATATGTGTGTCAAGTAGGCATCCCTGACTCCTTGACCCCCATAGGGATGGATGAGGGGTGGAATAGGATGGTGAGATCGCTCACCCACACAACTTAGTAATTTCCAGGAAATAAAGCTGAAAGTTAAACAGTTTAGGGTACCAGGTGAAATTCTATACCAGTATCCTGAAGCCACAATGACCAAAGAGGGCATCTGCCTCAGAGAATCATAGGTCCTATTTCAGCTGTGTCATGTTGATGCTGTCACTTTTCTCAGTGGAACTTTGGGCAAAGCACTTAACTTCTGAAACCTCAGATTGGTTGTCGGTGAAATGGGGACAATAGTAGGGCCCCCTCCATAGAGTTAGAAGTGGGCTAATGCTTACTGCATGCTTAGCACTATCCTCAGCGTCAGCATCGTGTCATGAACTAACAAACGGGCTGCTTTATTCCGCTTCCTTCCTTATTTCCCGATGGTCTGATGGTCAGAAGCATGACAGCAGGCGTTCAGAAGTTCACTGCAGCTATACAACCCACACCCCCCCCCCTCCGTACTTCAGGGCCTGTTTGTAGTGATGGAGGCAAAGCTCCAAGCCACAGATGTCCCAGGAGGCCCAATTCTGCCCCGGCCTCCTCTTTTCTTGGGGCTGGGAGTTCTCTTTGGGGAATTTGTCATTGATTGAGATTCTGAGTTAGGGGATGCGGGTTGGTGTAGAAGAGAGATTATTTCTTCTTGCCTTGAACATTGGTTGATTTCTCTGGGTTTCTCTAGTTCTATTTAATTTTCTAGGGATCATAGAGAGCCAAGAACCTTGTAAGGGTGCTTATGGGAACCCCAAGACCCTTGGGAACCTCTGTTAATCTTAACCTTTTGTGAAGACTAAACTATTATGTTAGGTTATGTAACACACTTGAAGTCAATGCCAACCAGAATTACCAAACGGGACTTTAAAAAGAAACTAGACTGCTTTCTTAAATATATTGCCCATTTCATAAAATCAAACAAAAGGTGCCAGAGCCAACTGATTTCTATTTCCAATTTGTTTCACTTAACTTCAAGAACAATCAGTGATGGAACAAAATGTAAATAAAATCTGACACTGTATTACAGATATGTTTGTGTTTTAATTTTTTTATTTTATACTAATTTATTTACAAAGTTCGAGTGCCTTGTTTTTCCCACAAGATCCTTCCCATTTCCTTCACCCCACCCCCCCACCCATCAAAATATCAGTTATTTTTTTGAGCTCTGGTGGTCTAGTATTAAGGAGCTGTGCTGTAATCTCAAAGGCACACAGTTCGAATCTTCCAGCTGCTCTGCAGGAGACGAAGTGATTAGGGTTGGGATTTACTGCCTCTGAAAACCTGTGGAAGGGTCAGCTCTTGGTTGGTCCTGACTCTGCCAGCACACAACAACAATGTATTTATTTATTTTTAAATCAGGCATGTTTTTAATGCATGCATATTTAAGAAGAAAGAGTTTTGGTTTCTGTGGCTACTTGATGGCACTGACCTACCTCGTTGCTCTGATGGCACTGACCTACCTCGTTGCTCGTTTTGCAGGGAATGCCTCTACAGAGAAAAATGGTGTTTCTTTCAGTGTTCAGAATGGAGATGTGTGCCTTCACGATTTCTCTGGAAATCAGCATGTGTTTAATGAGAAAGAAGACCAGTGCCATGCGAAATACCGGATCGCACTCCGGAGGACTTCAAAGCGGGGCAGCTTAAACTTTATTGAGCAAATGTGATTCCTTTTTCTAAAATCAAAGCATGATTCTTGACAGTGTGAAAATGTCCATTTTTACCTTTTACGCAATGTGAGATGTACAAAACCCAACTGATTTTATAGTCAGCAACTTGGGAAGGAGCATTCACTCTTTGAGGGCACCAATTAGGGGCACTAGTAGGGGTGGAGGGAGCTCAGTCTCTGCAGTGTGGTTCCTTATCCTTCCTTTTAAGAGATGAGTTTTAAACAACACACTAAGAATAAGATTCATGTAAAAAAACTTCGATAATTGCCAGTCACATTTTAAAGAGGTTATTGATCTCTGCTGTCACCCTATAAAGCAGCCCTTGACTTCGGCATGGTGAGTTTAGTCATGCATGTTCTTGTTGTATATAAGCTCAGATCTAGTGACGTACATGACAAAAAAAATCCCACTTCTATCTTTTTTTATATTTATTTTCTACTGTGTAACTTGATTCTTTTGTAGAGTTGTGGTTGTGTTTTGTTTAATGTGACAATATGGAAAAAATCTTTGCTGGTTCAGTGAATTCTGAAACTCCATTCGGAGATGATGTGGGATGTGAAATACAGAGACTTCACTGAAATTTTTTTAAAAAAAGAAATAATGCTGCTGGCTAGACTGATGCCTGTCAGCAGACAGTGTCACAGTTAGCTTCTAGTGAGTGCCTTCGAGAGAGTTAGGACAAGACTCCCCTCTTGGGCAGACGAAGACCCATGGGTTGGCAGCTTGGCAAATAGTGAGGACAGATCTTAGCCCACTCACCTCCTTGTCTCTGCATTCTTGTGCAGGGTCCAGACGGTGCAATTGCGTATGGCACCCAATCCCAATCCCTAGTCCTCACCTCATCCCTGATTATCAGAGTATGGAATCTGTACCAAGATATTTCGCTTGCTACCTTACCCACAGAGCAGGATGGAAATATTCTCGAGACCTTATGAGAACACTGTGACTCTGGAAGAGACACATATACTGCCACTTCTCAAATCTCTGGAGCCTTTCATAATAGGGGAGTGTGGTAGGATACTTTTAAACAGAGATGTGTATTAGGGAAACAGTCATGTTGTTCTTTAGAGGTACGATAACTGCATGGTACTTTGGTCATTGTTAAAGCCTGTTCCACTTTGGCCTAGCCAGAACTAGAATGCCTTTTTTTATTTGTTTCCCGCCCCCAAATGTGTCAAGTCTGGAGGAGTGTAGAGTGGCAAAGGGAAGCGGCTCCTGAGGACAGTATCTCCTCCCACAATGCTATGGTTCCTCTCGGTGTTGCATCTACAGCTTCTTGAGTGCTGCTTCGGTTTTTCCTTCATAAGAATGTTTCAAATCCCTTTAGGTCTTTCTCTTAAGTTTTCTGTGCACATATTTCAAATGAATGTTGTATCCCAGGCTAATCATAGTAATAATGGAATACATTTCTGTGAGTGCTGATTTGCCTTTTCTATCCCTTTTTTCCCCTCAGATTTATTTAATTGTATTTATATGTTCAAATCAGCCAAAAAAATTTTAAAATCAATTAAAAAATGTAAAAAAATCAACAGAGACTTTACAATCAACAACAATGTTAAAATTGACACACACAAAAATATTGTTATGATCAACCAAATAAATTTGTAGTTAAGCACTTGACATTGACTAACTTTCATCTCCGTTGTCTGATTCCTGTACAGAGTGGCATGAGTGAAGAGGGGAGGCATGCTCAGGACAAACACAGTAGTAACATCTCTTGGGAAACAGTGGGCTGGCACAGTGGAAATTAGGGCAAAAGCTGGTCTGCTGCAAAAGACCGGACTCTGGTCCATGTTCTCACTGTCCCCATTATTCTTTCAAAATTATTACTTTAACACTGGTTAAAGTTGTCTTCCTGCAAAAGACCAGTTTCTGAGCCCTAGCGGGAACCATCCTCCACATTCCTACTTCCTCAGAATCAAATGGGATTTTAAAATGACAAGGGCCAAAGGGAATTGAGGTTTCTAAAGGAGCGAGCGAGTTAGTATGTAAGGGAGTTCTGGCGGCTTACTGGTAAGGAATTGTGCTGCCAACCCAAAGGTACACAGTTCAAATCCACCAGCTCTGTGGGAGAAAGATGGGAATTCTCCTCCAATGCGATTTTACTGCCTCTGAAAACTTGCTGGAGGGTCAGCGATGAGTCAGTTATGACTTGACACCAGTCTATTACTCATAAAGGCTGGCAGTTTGAATCCACCAGTTGCTTGCTCCAAAGGAAAAAGATGGGTAATCTCTGCATGTAAATACTGACAGCCTGGTAAAGCCAGTGGAGTTGGAATAGATGGGATAGGCGTGTTGGAGTTAGTATGTGCGAAAATCTGGCCTCATCTCCACGCAAGGCCTCCCTCTGAGCAATCTCCTCTTCAGAGATCTTCAGCTGCTGTGAGGTGTTGATTTATCGATTGATTGATAAGGTGGTGAGACTCCAGACTTGGCAGTGGGGGGACATCAAATCCAAACTTCTGTAGATTAGTAGCTGAGGTGTACATAAAATGAGGTGCAATGTCCTGGATTGTTGACCTCTTTGAGCCAAAAGGACTGGTTGGCAAGTAGGCAACTTTCATTGAATCAATTCAGAATTGGACCTCTCCTTTGAGTCAAAAGATGGATTGTTTTTCTTTAGAGTAAAATATCTCAGCCATCAATAGAAATGTTTGTTGATGTCCACCAGGGATAGTGATGTGTGGCTTTGGCAGAAGCACCTTTGTCATTGATGAGCAGACCCAGTGGTGAGGGTCAGATAGGTCATGTATGAGAGCGTTCTAGGGCCTAGTGCTAGGTTTTTTCTTTAGATGAAGATGAAAAGTGGATTCACATGTAAATAACAACATATTCTGTCCATATTTTATGATTCTTGAGAAGTACTTGAGAAATGACTTGGAGACAGAATTCTATTGGATAACAAGAGAAAGACTTCTTGGGTAAAGGGAACAAGATATAAAGGTTCTGTATCCCAGGAACATGAGGCTACAAAAAAACATGAGAATAAGTCTTCTATAGCACAACGTCCTGGTCCAAAATGGACTAACTCACTGAAACTAGCTGAGTAGCTCAAAACCTAAAATAGAATTGTTGTTGTTGTTATGTGCTGTCGAGTCGCTTGTGACCCATAGCGACCCTATGTACAACAGCCCTAAACTCCGCTCTGTCCTGTGCCAATCACAGTCTCCCGTCCCAATTATCCCAGTCACTGAATCAATCCACCTCATAGAGGGCCTTCCTCTCCTGCGCCGTCCCTCCACCCTCCCAAGCATGATGTCCCTCTCCAAGGACCGGTCTCTACATGTCCAAAGTAAGTTAGACGGAGCCTCAGAATCCTTGCCTCCACGGAGCCACCCGGTTTAACCCTTTCCAGGACAAATCTGTTTGTTTTCCTAGCAGTCCATGGTATTCTCAATACTCTTCTCCAGCACCACAGCTCAAAGGCATCAATTCTCCTTCTATCCTCCTTGGTCATTGTCCAACTCTCTGATGCATAACAAGTGATTGCGAAGACCATAGCCTGCATCATACGCAGACTTTCTTTTTTGTTTGCTCTAGTAAATAGTTGGTCGCGGGGCAAGAAGCAGCACTGCAATTCCAAAGGCACATGGTTAGAGGTCACCAGCTGCTCCGTGGGAGAAGGATGGGCAATCTCCTCCCGTACAGTTAACTGCCTCTGAACACCCACCGGAGGGTCAGCTATGAGTTGGTTCTGATTCTGCAGTACACAACAAACAATTAAATATTTTATTTTGACATTTCAAGCTATATTGAAATACATAGCTTGCATGACAATATTCATTAAAGCATAGGCCAAAGTCTGAGGATGTAGACTGACAGTGTACCAAAAAGGGAGGGTGTTGCAAAATTGACAAGGAATGAGATCAAGAAACTAGAGATGCTTCTGTGCTGACTGGAGATGCCAGATCATAAGCAAAGGTCATCAGATATTTCCACCATGCCTGCACAATAAGACTCCTGAAGAAACATCATTTGAACAAAAGTGATAACAAAAAGCACCTAAGAACCTCAGCCTTAAAAATGCAGAAGTATATAGGCAAATTCTAGAGTAGATGCAAAGGTTCTAGAAGAGATTTAATGATAACATCTACTTTTATTTACTGCTGTTGTGAGTTGCCTTTGAGCACATTCTTACTTCTAATGACCCTACTATGGGAGCAGAACCGAGCTGCACCATGGGGTTTTCAAGAACCGTATGACTTTCAGAAGCAGATCAGCAGGCCTGTCTTTGGAGAAGGCTCAGCTATGGGTGGATTGGTTTGGCTAGTGGTTGAATGCTTTAACTGAGCCACTTGGGGACTCCTTACTCCACAGCAGATTCTATATTTGCCATAACAAATGGGAGGGACAAAACATGAGTTTCTTTATAAGCCAAGAGTTACAGTAAAGCAGTGAAGTGTAAGTGCTCTTGTTCTGGAATATCTTACGTAAGCATGTTTAAGGACCAAACATAGATCCAGCTAAGCAAGACTGACTTTCATTCGCTCAATAACAATTGGGCTTCATACATTCTCAACACGGTTCCAGGCACCATGGTTGTTAAGTGCTGAGTTGGCTAATGGGGGGAATGAATCAAAGACACAAGAAAGTGCATTCTGGATATATGCATGGAGGCTAGCATATATCCAGAACAAATAGTTTTTTGACCCAGCTGTCCAATCAAATGCATTATCTTGAGCAATAAACACAGGGCCTAGGAATTTGAACTACAACAGGTAATTGGCATCCACCAGAATGGTCCTGGGAGTGGCGCCCACGTGGCTGGGGACAATTCTGGAAACTTGCTGGGCTCCACTACTCATTCTAAGGCAAAGGCGGAAGAGAGGAGCCAGGGACAAGGCTATGTATGATCCAGGTCCCCAGAATACGCCGTCCCCTTTTCCTTTTGAATCAGGGTGAAGTCTCTCTCAGGGAGGAGTGATAGGGAATGGCAAAGGATACACTGACAAAGGAGATTAATCAGAACGGGCTTTGACAAGCACTGTGGCAATTGGACAATTAAAACAGACATTGAAGGGGGGAAAAAATGAACGAACTGGGGAGGAGGGTAGAGAAAACAGTGCAACAATGAATGAATGAAAACCCAAAATCTCTGTAATTGTTCATTAAAACTAATAAAATTTAATAATAATAAAAAAAGTGCCAGTGGGTCATCAAGGCCAGCACCTTTCTCCGCCCTCCGGTGGGGCCGAGACCCGCCCCTAGGCATCTTTACAGCTGCTTAAGGTGGCAAATGTTCCTTCCCCCCATCCCACTCTCGTACCCCACCTAATTTTCAGGTCCTTCTTAGGTTCCCTCGGCAAAGGAGGCGGGGACGTGACGCCATTGTGACGCAAAGGGGCGTGACCTCCCCGACTTCCTTCTGAGCTCGGCGGTTCCGCTCCCTGCGCGGGTTGGCCCACCGTGCGCAGGCGGCCGTGATGGGCGGGCCTATTCCTGATGATTGACGGCCGCCCGGGAAAACGCGTGGGTCTGAGGGGTGGCCACTGTCGGTGCGGAGCCGTGCTGCCTGGGCGGCCGGTCTGTATTCCCCTTTCCGGAAGGAATGGTAGACGCTCCCAGGGGCTTCCTCTGACCTCCCCGTGGCAGAAGAGGCTTGGCGGGGCGTTGTTTCACGCCGGAACCTTGTTGGGCCTGGCCGGTGCGGGAGTGTGCCGTCCTGGTCTCCGCCCCCGCCCCTCCCTGCTGGGCGAGACTCTGGTTGGTTCGCTTGACACCGCTCAGTGCTCGCTGGCGTTTCCCAAAGTCTCTACCTCCTCGGCCCTCAGCCCGAGGCTGTGCGTTCCTGGCAACCAGGGCTGAGCTTGGCAGCGCAGACGGGCACCGCGGGTCCGGGCCCGTTTCGAGGATGCGGAGCAGGAGCAATTCCGGGGTCCGCCTGGACGGCTACGCGCGCCTCGTGCAGCAAACCATCCTATGTTACCAGGTGAGGAACCACCTCGAGCTTAACTCTTTCCGCTCCCTAAGGCCCCCGCCCCCTCCCTGTCCCCCAGGCTGTCCTTACTTCACACCCGGCCACCCCATCTTATGTACAGGCCTCCTGCTGATGTGGCATCGCTTCTCGGAATTCTTTGGCTTCATAATTGGGACAGACGGGACTCTTACATGCCCTGTGTACAAAATATGACGTTCGGGCGCCAACCCTGTGTATTCTGGACTAGAGGATGTGTGTCGTTTGCATAGAGCCCAGAAACTCAGAACTCAGGGCAGTAGACGGGCGTGAAGCTGCTCCTGAGGTTTGCGCGGGACTCCCGAGTGTGTGGGCGACTCCTGCCGCCCCTATTCCGAATTGCCTGATAGAGGACCCACCTGTGAGGGCCTTCGAGCCTTCTCTGGTTTCTGTTTCACAGATGGGGAAACTGTAGGCCATTAAAGTTGCTACATGTAGCAAGTGCAGAACACAATCAGGTGGTCTGAGCTCCAGGGCTCCTGGAACTTGCCCTTGTTGTCTAAGGGCGGCCTGTTACAGTTTTTGTCCTTGTTGTCTGAGGGCTACCTGCTACAGTTTTTTCTTGAAGCTATGTGTGGACCCATCATGTGTAAGCCCATGGAACTATTTTTATTCATAGTGAGGACAGCTGGTTACTTTGCTTGTTCTCAATCAACAGCAACTATTTATAGGATTCCCTCCAAGGTGGTTAAAGGCCTGGCCTTCGAAATCAGGGCTAATTCCAAACAGCTGGCTGTGTTCCCGCCATTTAGTACAGGGCGAGTGAAAACGAAGAGATGCGCTGACACGATGGCTGAAGCAACAGGCCCAAACATAGCAGTGATTTTAAGGATGATGCAGGACCAAGCATTGCTTCATTATTTGTGTATGAGGTTGCTATGCGTTGGAACAGACCTGATGGCTCCTAACATTTATGTGCGCTCTTCATGGCGCTGGGTTTACAAAGAAGCAGCTTGGTGGCATTTGGGGATACGGTTGCGTGAAACCCATAGAATCAGAGGTGCTTTAAATTAAGAAATCTTTTGAACTTAGAAAGGTAATAAGCACGGCTTTTTGTACTCTATAATAAACTGCTGTGAAATGTAGGTTAAACCACATTCTTTTTATAATGAAATATGAATCGTTCCATTGAGTTAAGACTTGAAGATCCTTACTGAGTTCAGGGATTTTTACCACCACAGTAGTTTACTGCCTTTAGGAAAACACTTTCCGTGTCAGAACTCCTTGGATATTGAGATTATGTGTGAAAGATTGTGGTATTTGGGAATTTTAGGGAAGGACAGAAGTAGGGGCTGGGAAGATACATGCCCAAGTTAAGAACTGCCGAAAGAACAGACAGGCAAACTGAGGTCATCTGCCTTCCTCCTTGAAATTATGTTTCCAAAGTGTTTGAAAATCTGAGTTGAGAGACCTTCCTCACATACTGTGGGGGAAGGGGCTGTAAGGAGGACTAATGAAGCCTGGTTCTTGTGTCAGTCTGGCTTGCACCCCCAGCTCTACCTTGAACAGTGTCAATTTTACTCAGCCTGTCTTAAGTCCACACCCTCATCTGTAAAATGGGAGTAATAACACCTACATTTTGTTCTTGTGAAAAAATTAAAAGTAGTACTTAAGTATGTCACCTGGCATGTCTATAGTGGATAGGCCACATATACCCAGGCCTTGTGGTCTTTGCTGGAACACCTTAACTCATGAGACTTCTTTTGGGAGTTATTGACACAGTTCCTAGTTGCTTTCTGGTTCTTGAACCTAATACTGTTTCCCTGTTTCATGCTGTGAGGTCATTAGGCACAGAGGCCTCATCCAGTGGCTGGCTTTTTGCATCAGTCAGCGACTCCAGGGCATCCAAGGTAACAAGTCCTTGTTGACCCAAACACTTCCTGCATGGCCTGAGCCATGCTAATGGCCCAGCTATTGAGCAAAAGAACTGTTCCTCAGGGTTGAACTTTCCTCCCCAGCATTTTAATGATTAAAGAAGGAGTTGTTTGGGCATTCGGTTGTATTTGTTTTGTGGGAAGTTGGTGAGGAGTCCTCATGCTTGGCCTCTATCTCCCTTCCTGGCTGCCTTGTCGAGCTTTTTAGTTAACCAGAGCACTCAGCACAGTTTTTCTGGAATGTCCCAGGCATCTACAAGTGCATGTTTGTTTCTGCCCATCTCCCTCCCAATCTCATTTCACCCCAGCAACTCATTTTCAGAGTGTGAGCCTTAACCCACCTTGGGCCCATCATTTTCTCTCAGTGATCTTAGGTGCCTTAAACACGCTGTTGGTGGTTTGAGCTGCATAAACAGCTTCTAGAGTTTCTACTCTAGCTCCCTGTCTTTTCTTGTACATATGCAGATGTTTATGGAGCATTTCTCAGTGTCAGCTGCTACAAGCTCTGAACTCTGTTTCTGATTTGCTTTTTAATTGGAGATCAACTTACATTCATCTCATTTGTTTGGCATCATTCAGTGCTCAATATGTCAAACTAACAATCATCTTTCTGTTAGAAGTAATAGCGTGTTCATATCAGCTAACATCTCAGCTAATTACTTTTTCTGTATCTGTGAAAGGAAAGAAATTTTCCCATTAGTCATTTGCCAAATATATTTCCAGTTAAATAGTATGTGAGTCTTTAAGGCAAGGAATGAAAGGGCTGTGTTTCTAAGAGCAGCCTTGATTTTATAAATAACTGCTTTAAGAAATAGCTTCAATTTTTTTGACTTCTAAAAAGAAATGTTTCGATCCGTTTGGGCAGAAAAGAAATAGTAACTGTACATTTCTTCAATCACAACTCTGAAGGCTTATAAAAGCGTTATAAGGTGATAAGATAATGTGGATCAGAAAGAAAAGTAATGATCAAAACAGTGTGTGCTGTAACTTCGGTTAATTTGCTATAATAAAGCAGATAATGAAGATACCAGGGCAGTGACTTAATGTTACTTTTTAAGGATAACAGAATTTAACATCAAAATAATGGGAAATCTAAAATATGTGTATGGATAAAATACTAAATCTGTAAAAAGGTGGTAGTTGTTATTATCGCCTGTCAAGTCACCTGTGACTCATAGTGACCCTATGTAAACAGCTCTGAAGCCAGTCCTGTCCTTAACTAATCTCATTGACTCCTACACACCTACCCCCATGCCCCAGTTACTGTATCAATCCATCTCATCCAGAGTCTTCCTCTCCTGCGCTGTCCCTCCACCCTCCCAAGGATGGTGTCCCTCTCCAGTGACTGTCCCTGCCTTGAAACATGTCCAAAGTATGTCAAATGGAGCTTCAGAATCCTTGCCTCCAAGGAGCCGCACAGTTTAACCCTCTCCAGGGTGAACCTGTTTGTTTTCTTAGCAGTCCATGGTATATTTAATACTCTTCTCCAGCACCACAGCTCAAAGGCATCAATTCTCCTCCTATCCTCCCCAGAGAAAAATCCTTTCTGTTGCTGTATCAACCCATCTCTCTGGGGTCTTCCTCTATTGTACTGTCCCTCGACCCTTCAAAGCATGATGTCCTTCTTGAAACATCGGTCGCTCCTGTGCACATGCTAAAAGGTGAAACAGAGCTTCAAAATCGTAGCCTCTAAGGAGAAACTTGGTTTCACCCTCTCCAAGACAGGCCTATTTGTTTTCTTGTTAGTCCATGGTATATTCAAGACTTTTCTCTAGAACCACAACTGAAAGGCATCGATTATTCTTTTGTCTTTAGTCACTGTCCAGCTCTCTGATGCATAGCAAGTAATTGCTAAGACCATGCACTGGATCAGATGCCCCTTAGTCTCTAGACTGATGTTGTTGCTTCTCAGTACTCTGGAGAAGTCCCTACAGCAGATTTACCTAATGCAATTCATCTTTTGATTTCCTAACCTCTGGTGCCAAGTGTTGATTGTGGAGCTGAGCAAGTCTGGTCATTGTTAACAACTTCAATCTCTTCTCCATCTATCATGGTACTGCCAATTGGCCCAGAGGTGAGAATCTTTGTCTTCTTGTGGTTGAACTTCAATTCATATTGAAGACTACAATCCTTGACCTTCTGAACCAAGCACTTCAGGTCCTTCTCAGTTTCAGCAAGCATTGTTGTTGTCATCTCTGTGTAATGTAGATTGTTGATGAGTCTTCCTCCAATCCTGATGCCACATTTCTCCTCATAAAGCTTAACCTCAGGGAGCTCTAGTGGCCTAGTGGCAAGAAGCTGCACTGCAATCCCGAAAGTGTGCTGTTCGAATCCACCAGATGCTACACTGGAGAAGGCCGGGAAATCTCCTGTACCACTAGGATCCAATTCGACAGTACACTAAAAAAAAAAAAAATAAATAAAACTCAACCTCCTAAATGATCTGTTTTGCATATAGATTGAAAAGGTATGGAGACAGGATACATCCCTCATGCACTCTTTTCCTGATTTTGAACCGCGCAGTGTTTCCTTCCTCTGTTCTGAGGACTGTTTTCTGGTCCAAGTATATGTTTAGCATGAGCACATTCAGTTGTTCTGGGGTTCCCATTCTCCTCAAGATTAGCCACAAATTGTTGTGATCCAGTCAAATGCCTTTGCATAGCCAGTGAAACAGAGGTAGACATTCCTCTGGTACTCTTTGCTTCCTGCCAAGACCCATCTAACATTGGCAATAATGTCTCTAGTTCCACGACCTCTTCTAAACCGAGCTTGTATTTCTGGTAGTTCTGTCAATGTACTGTTCAAATAATTTCTGGATAATCTTCAGAGTTTTGCTTTTGTGTGATACTGTTCATTAATGTCCATACACGGTCAGGTCACCTCTTGTTGGAATGGGAATAAATATGGATCTCTTCCAGTCAGTTGGCCAGGTAATTGTCCTCTGGGTTTTTTGGCACAACTTGGTGAGCACATTGAAATATTTCAATTGGTATTCCACTAGTTTCTGGGGCCTTGTATTTTTGCCAAGTCCTTCAGAGTAGCCTGCACTTCCTCCTTCATCGCCATTGCCTATTGATCATATGTTGGTTGGTTGTTGTAATT